TTTGTTGCCAAGTTAATAAATGGGTGACGTTTGTCTTTGGCATTCCACAACTTGGATAGCTGTTTCTTTTCTTGAGCTGCTCTATGTGAAGGCCCCAGTAGATGATCAATTACATCTTGTGTCTTTTTCTTCCCATCACAACGCACACCTTGTGCCATGTACACTCTACCATTAGCTGAAAAGCGCTTTGCTTCCTCTTCGAATTCACCACAGATGCAACACTTGACAAAAACCCTAGCTTTCTGGCGATTCTGCGTTGAAACTCTACTTCGTTCATAATATTGAGATAGCACACCATCTCCAAATTTTCCTAGAAGTGCTTTTAGGTTTAATGGGTAGCCTCTGTAATACTCAGTAGTGGTTTCAGTAGTCATTTGCGTTGACGATGTGTTTGCTGTGCTTATTGGCAAACCAACGTCCCTTGTTGTAACCAAAGTAATGCTGTTTATATTTGCAGAGCTTGTTGACGATAAGGTCGAAGGTGTAGTATTGCTTGGAATATTATTCGAAGGAGCCCGTGTATGAACAAATTGAACATTACCTTCCCTATCTGAATTTCGAATATCAAAATCCACTTCATTCAGTTCATTGTCTTTACGAGGTTCTCCTTGGTCAGTGCCTCCAGTAGCTGCAGTGCCTTGTACTTCGCTTTCCACTTCAATTGGCGCCATATTTAATAATTGCTCTGACTCCTTCTCAACGTTTGTATCGCACGATGTCGATGACGATGTTCTTGCATTTTCGTTCTTTGTGAAGAAATCCGATACCTTTTTGCATTTACTCGCTTCTTGTTTTAACAGTTTTTCAATATTCGCTTTTCTTTTATTTGCATACGGCATTTTTAATACTAATAGTACAAACAAATGCAAGCAATTTGCATGTAAATTTTGATGTAAATTATGTTTTTGAAATTCCCTACTAAGCTTCCCGAATATCCCGAGATTTCCCCCAAAATCCCAATGTTCCCACTTTCGTTCCCAGTCCCACTTTGAAAAATATTTTTTTGCAGATCGAAATTTCCTATTTGACTATTTTTCTATTTTTCATTGTCCAGAATGGGAAGGCAAAGGAATAGCAGAGATTCTGCGAAAGGAATACTGGAATAAGGATTAATTATGTTGTCCAATATTGACTTTGGGAGTTATTTTCACACCAAAAAATATGAAAAGGGACTTTCTACTGGGGGGGACAAAATTGCCGACTGGGGGGGCAGTAAGGGGGGCTGGGAGGGGGCCATGTCCCCCCCAGTCTTTATGTTAAAAGAGGCCCTGTATACAGTAATACCCAGTATTTAATAAATCACAGTGAAAATAATTCAACATAATAATAGAACCCAACTGCCAAATACTATGGTTGAAAATTAATATTCCCATATATACAGATCACTTATCTATTCTATTTCAACTATACAATGATATCAAAACATCAAAAGTACTTGCTTAGCTTTTATACAGCTATCACATGACTATCAAACTTTACTAAATTACTGTTATACTTATAGTAAGGTCTCTATGATATCAACAGCTCAAACTGCAAAGTTATTCATTGAACTGTTATTATATACAACCAGCAACAGAACTACTGAACCAACGATACGCGTAGAATTTTAGGAGAAATATTTTAATACACAATCACATTCACAAAATATGAACTGATCATGAAAATATAGATTTACAGTAAAAGCAAAGTTAAAGGTAAATATTGCAGTAAACATACCGTACTTGCCTGTCTGTGACCAACATTAAATTTAGTAGAAACAATCTGTAGTGACGAGGCTTTTAGGATCTCGTTTTAATATCGTAATACATGAATAACATGATAAAAAACTTTAAAATGTTGATGCATATCCGGCCATATTGGTAGTCATTTTATTCCGGTGTCACAGTGATATGAGTATCCCCGTCTTTTGTGTATCCCCTACTAATATCACTAGGGATATGTGTATCCCCATGCTCACCTCACTAGGAATATGTGTATCCCCAGCAATATGGAGGTCGTGTTCTGCGTATCCTTGAAGAACCACCCTACATTCCCACATCACTAGGGAAACAGGTCTTTAAAAGAAAAGATATGAATTGGAAGTGCAGTCAAGAATGCAGTGTCAGGAAATAACAAGTACAATGTACTACTATGCATTAGGATTAATGTTAAGAGTAATTCTACACTATGTTAGACACCAATTTATGCAACGCGAACATGCTGTCTTACAACATTAGCACAATCACATTATACACATTTACTGCAGCATTACTGTAAAAACAAATGCTTACCGGAAAATAAAGGCACAGATGAATGACTTTCCTCCTGCTCATATTTTGAATATTGCATCCTTTCGCTTCTAGTGTTGTAGGTATCCCCACCGGGGGTACTTTTATCCCTGGGGATATTAGTGTGGGGATACTAAAGTCACGGGGATGTTCGTATCACTGTGACACCGGGCGTTCTGTGACCCCCGCCCGTGATCATATCAGATCATGTCAGCGGCCGCGCATCTAGTAAATTACTTAAAAACATCGCCCGAAGTTCGAAGGTTTTACTCAAAATTCCAAAGGAATTTTACAACTTTAGAAAGTGGAAATATTTCCAGATACATGGGCCATCATTCCAATACCGTATTTACCATCAAAGAACAAATATGACTGGTTTATACTAGTTTATTTTGTCTAAAAATACATTTCCATGTACATGCAAATTAATACATCCTCTGAGAAAATTCACAAACTAACCTCTCTGAAATTTGAGGTCCTTAACACCAAAACATCCAAGATCAAGGAAGGGGACATTGTTATTTGTAAACAGAAACCAAACAACAAGTTATCTCCAAGATTCAAACCCGAGCGATTTACGATCGTGGAGAGGAAAGGCGCAACAGCTACGGCACGAAATGGCAGACGAACCACCACGCGTAATGTGACTCATTTCAAAGTAGTTAATTAAACCTGTAGACGAACAAAGTAGTGATGACGAGAAGTCAACTACCGTGGAAGATGTACAGGACAACAGGGTCGGAGATGATATGCAGGACTTTATAGAAGAAAGTCACCCGATATCAAGAAGATCAACGAGAAATTTGGTTACTCAATACCATCTGGGGCCGGTTGTATAAAACTCTTAATCACTTTCTAACCACTATTTTGTAGTTAAATAGTGATTAACTCTCAAATAAACGCTTCTTATTGGATGACGTTTCCACTAACTGCAGTTAACTTTAATCACTTTTTTATACAACCGGCCCCAGGACTTATTTCATAGAACTTTAGTATGATATGAACAATAACGAACAAATCATAGTTATTCCGTTGAGTTTTGTTAAAAAAAAAGAAGAGAACAATGTAGTGATTGACAGTTACACATAATTTATTAAATAAATTATAATGCGCGGGAAAAATAAGAGCACATGTAATTAGGTATGACGAAGGAGAAAACATTGCGTTTGTATCTAGTAAGATAAATACTTAATTTAGAATGTGATGAGGTAACAAATGTGAGCAACAGCAGTTCGGTATCAAAGGCTAAGGTATGTGAACATACTGATAACTGTATAAACAGATATATAATCGCTCAGTTGGAAGGAGTGAAACTCGACTTAAAGACTTTAGAGTCTCGACTATTTACTTCGATATCTCGGCAAGAATCTAAGTTTGATGATATCAACTCAATGCACGTTAAGCAGAAGGAGATGGAATCTACTATAAAACAAAAAGACGAAGAAATACATAAACTTAAGTTAGAAATCCAATATATTAAGGGGAAGCTATTTCTCGAGCGCAGTGAAGCACAAAATGCCCCTACGAACAATGATCATGGGTCATTAAATGCTTTAAACAAAACTCGCAATAACTCTAAGAACAAAGACCTTTGTTCAGAAATAGTTAATTTAACATAGCTGATGATCCCCCTCCTCCTATAAATGATCCACCGAATAATTATAAGTAATAGCATGGCTTGAGGGAGATTAGTGATTAAATGGCCCCGTAACCCGAGGCAGGTTTGCGGAATTCCCGAGGGCGAAGCCCGAGGGAATTCCGCAAACCTGCCGAGGGTAAGGGGTCATTTAATCACTAATCTCCCGAAAAGCCATGCTATTAGTTTGTAATAGCATAGTTTCGCTCCCATTTAAAAATGGACAAACATGCCCTACTTGGAATCAGCGTATTTAAGCTAAAACATTTGCTTCATTGCTTGTGGGATGTAAAAGCTTGTTGCACATGCGCACTTTTTACGCTTTAATCGGTTACGCATGCGCAATCTATCATTTAACGTACCACAACAAAAACGCTAAATATATTAGTATAAACTTGGAGACTGCACGAACGTAATTTAAATGATGCGGCAACTCAGGGATCGGATGATAGACTATTGACGGCTCTGAGCTAACTGTTGCTGTTCCTTGCACGATTATGTGCGTGAGGCACTTGCCTAATGCGTAGTCGTCAGGGAGACAAAGGTGTGACCCTTGGTAACGGGCGATTAGTTCTAATCGCCCGCTCTAGCGGGCGATTAGAACTAATCGCCCGCTACAGCGGGCGATTAGTTAGTAATCGACCCTGTTGAAACAAAAGAAACCCGGGCAACTATGCTATTATCTAAATAAAAACCAGTCAAGCTTTGAATACTAGCAAAACTTACCCGTCGAATGACAAAGATCAACATGCTAATTACGAGACAAACAATACCACCAGTATGAATATTATGTCTAAAAATGACACTCCATGTCCCTTTCTTTTGCGTAGAGGCAGCTGGTGCTTAAAGAAGAAAAAATGTGACTTCAAACATCCACAATATTCGCATCAAAACCAGCCATCGAACAGAGTGCCTAAACATAGAATGCATTGCCCCTTCCTACGACGGAAGGGTTTTTGTCTGAAGGGAAACCAGTGCGACTTCTTGCATAGCGATTCTTCAAATACTCATCCGACTCAAGGGTTCGATTTAAATTATCTTAATCCTTTTTTATCCTATACACAAAGGACAGCGTCTCCAAATTGTATGCAATCCCACCAGAGGAGCAACAACACGCAGGTTCCCCTAGATTTCCCTATGACATCATGGCCTACCCACCCTTGGATACAACCTCTGATGAATGCTCCAATATACCCACCTCGTTTACGATGGTGAACACGATACCAACCCGAATTTACACCCCCTCTAATATAAAGGATGTAAAGCCTGGTTCACATTGATCGGCGATGTTCTACGATCCATTGTCTGTGAGCAACGAAGAAGAAAATGCACAAAATATTTTATACATCAATGACCACCGACAATGGGCATCGCCGATGTTTACGATCAATGTGAACCAGGCTTTATATACAACATCCCAGTTCGAATAACTACGCGGCATAATACTTTACAACGAAAATTTCCTGGACAAACGCAGCATGTTTATAAAAGTATACCGTATAACTGTATAAAAGTCAAAATTGTGAGACCCCAGCAAATCCATCTTCTGTTTGCCCAACCTTCTTCCTCTCAAAATTTTGCCATATAAGCAATAAAATTGGTGAGCTGTCTGGTATTGTCTCAGTCAACAACCCCTGACCATTGAACTAAAAATAACTGGAACGCTACGTTCAAGCGGAAATTTGAAGCTAAATTCTACAAGGTCGTACACAGGCTTTAAAAGGCCCGTTTTAAATTGAAAAGGCCCGTTTCCCTTTCGATATGCATCCTGCCATGAAAACGTTCAAAACGGCATGCTTCGAGCGCCCCCTGCATTGTCTCGCGAGTAAATCGCGCAGTAGAAACACGCGTGGAAGTGCGTGTCTGGGAGTCAAAACTGGCTTCATTTGGCTTCATGGGAGTCAAATTTTGGCTTCAAAATTTACATGCGCAGTTTACTGAACGTAGCGTTCCAGTTATTTTTAGTTCAATGCCCCTGACCCCTCTGTAATAATGGTCACTGAAACATGGCTATCAAAAAATATACCAGACTCGGCAATTAAAATCGGGAATAATCCCCAAGCCGACGGTGCGAAGCGTCGGGCGAGGGTATTAATTCCACACGGCTAATTATACCCGGGTATGTGAAGACATATGCGAAGTGCAAAGTTGTCCTCCATTTTGTTTATGTCATGGACGGTTTTCGACGTTATGCGCATGCGCGAGTACAAGTTCTGTCTACTGTAAGTAATTGTTTTTCATTTTGAAAGGACGTATATTGCTGTTTTACTACATTTTTTTGTTTTAAATTTCGTTAAAAAGTTTACAAAAGTATAACACGATTTTTTTCTCGATTTTAACTGGAAATAAGCCTGCAGTTTCATGAATTAGTGGCTGTTCAACCGTAAAGCAAAGTTTGTATAATAATTGTTTTGATGTTGATGTCTTTGTGCCGGTTTGGGTAAGTATAAACATTTCAGTAGTAAAATTCCATGCCGTACTTGCTTCGTGTTTCGGTTTTATTCATATCTGCGAAATTTTTAAGTCATCCTTAACTGGATAATTCACTTTAATGCAAGCTGGTATGCATGAAATTGCAGTGAATGGTATCGTTCATAATATAATAAACTAGCTTTATTTAATAAAGCTAGCGCATCAGTTGTGTTTTATGTTTGTTTATAATGGTCTTAATACTTTACTGAATACTGCGGAGCTTTTATACTTCATCTGTTAAGAAAGGCGAGGGGTTGCTGCATGCATGTATTTTCTAGTTATGAAACATTCCGACTTGATAGAGACACCCTAAGCGGCGGTATCCTAGCGTATATTAGCTCGTACATCCGCGTGGGAAATGATAGAGTATCTTTCTAACGAACTGGATATTATACTTACCAAATGGATATCTTCAGGAATTATCATTGCAGGAGATTTCAATATGTTGAACATCAGTCCTGTATGCAGCCGTTTTGGGCTACATAAAACCGTATCAGCGCCCATGCACTCGAGGGAAAAATACCCTGGACCAAATTGCTGCAAACATGTTTAATCTGTTTGACTCAGCTAGCCACCTACCCCCTATTGGTAGATCGGACCACCAGTGTATTCTCCTTAAACCAAAAAATGATTTGAAAATCCCTCCTAAGACAAAGAGAGTCAGATTAATGAAACCTGAAAATCGAGCCGCTTTAACGCCCGTATTCTAAAAGCTCACTCACACTCAATGAGTGGAGGTTCAGTCTGAGCTTCTCTTGAACGCCAACGCTGTTTTTGAATAGCTGGATGGGTAGTGTCATACCTTACTATGTGACAGCTCACCCTCCAAATATTCAAAAACAGCATTGACACTCAAGAGAAGCTTGGATTGAACCTCCACTCATTGAGTGTGAGTGAGCTTTTAGAATACGGGCGTAAGTCTGAAAGTGGCGCAGCAAACATGGGAGCGTATATTCCGTGCTGAAGATGTAGACGAAAAGGTCAAACTGTTCAACGAAACTGTGATTCACATGCTGGACACGGAGGTGCCCGTCGAAACCATCGGAGTCCACAACTCAGACAAACCGTGGGTGACAAACCACATTAAAATATAAATCAAAGCTAGACAGCAAGCTTTTAGTCGTGGCGATAGTATAAACTATACACGCTTATGCCATAAAGTCTCTAGTCTGATATCTAAATCGAAAATAGTCTACCATGAAAGTAAAGCCAAAGACCATCGTAAATCAAACTCCAGTAAATGGTTTAAATCCATCTCTTCACTAGTTGGCATGGATGGTACATCCAACCTTCCGGCAAACGGGTGCCAATACTACCATCTTTCTGAACTGACCGAGAAACTACAGACCGTTTTTACCGCCCCTTGGAATGGAATGATGTTAGACAATGCTGCTAGTTACATATGACCTAAATAATGTGCAACACCATCTTAGAGAAACTGATCCCTCCATACCATCGATAGGTCAGGTGAAAAGGCCCTTAATGCATTAAAGGTGAAGAAGGCGACTGGCATTGATGGAATCCCTGCGTGGTACCTGAAGCAGTATAGTGAAGACTTAGCTGCCGTAGCACATAACATCATCACGAGTAGTATAATTCAATGTAAATACCCACCTTGTACAAACAAGCTCTAATAACCCCTGTGCCTAAAATTACTCCACCAAAAAAGATACCTCGAAGTATGCCGATGACTGCACACTCGATCAAGCAGTTGGAGCCGGGCAAATAAGCCATGTCCAACAGGCTCTAGGCATCATCCAAAATTGGTCAGTGTCGAACAAAATGACTATCAATATCGAAAAAACAAAGGACATGTGGGTATGCTTCACGGAATCAATATTGGAACCTCCTTCTGTTTATATCGGTGATGAACTAGTTGAAAGAGTGGACACATTTAAACTACTTGGAATGGTTCAAAACAACCTCAAATGGAACAATCATGTTGAAACTGTTATACAGAAAGCTAACCGTCAAGTATATATCTTAAAAGAATGCAGGAAAGCTAATCTACTTGTGGAAGCAGGTATTACCCTTTATAAATCCAATATTAGATCTATTATTGAATATGCCTCACCTGTTTGGGGTGGCCTTCCAACCTATCTGGTAAATGAAATTGAACGAACCCAGACCCGCTGCCTCTGAGTTCTTGGTTATAACAATGACTGTCTACAATGCCTCTCTGATCGAAGGGAAGAACTTCTGCAACGTGAAGCGCGGAAGATTGTGAATGACCCTTCCCATCCTTTACATACAAGACTCTTTAAATCAAATAATCCCTATGGTCTACGGACAATTAGTAGCAAAAACACATTATCGCGAACCGAAAGACATAAACGTTCCTTCTTAGCTCGTGCAAGTGCACTTACATAGTTTTTAGTTGTCTATACATACTTAATACTCTTATCTGTATATAATGTTCTACATATTTTTAACGTAATTTCAATCAAACTGTAAATCCATTGTACTTTATACTTAAGATGGATAAATAAAGATTATTATTATTATAAGTAAAGGAAAATATATAACTATAAAGATTGTTTGATTACCACAATGTTCAAGCTAAACAATGTATTTGTGACGTATTGTGACGTATCTTCCTATTGGCATCGTATTGGTTAGAACGTTCGACATAATTTTGCATGCGTTTTTTTATGCAAAGTGCTCGGCCAAACGAGGTATCAGGATTTAATGAAAACATGGACAAACGAGATAAGGAAGGTAGCTACCTAACTTGTGTCGGTTCATAATTAAACTTTGTTTTCGTAAAAAAATACTTTAAGCTCGCTTTTATAGACAACCAACCCTCTCACTCACTTTGACCCAGTAAGTACATTTCAAATTTAAAAAAAATCATTGGAGTGGTTAACATATCAAAACGTCTATCGTGCATATCCTGCTTCAAGAAAGTTAATCCGAAAAATGATAAAATCGGCAATTGCGAAATTTGCAAGCTGATGCAGCACTTGAAGTCGTGTCCTCGACAATGGTACTTGCATGTCTTGGTCCAAACAACAGATTCACAAACCTTCATTTGCGATCGACTATGACAGCAGTGAAAATAAGATAATAAACATTGAGGCTGAACCCTCAGTTTAGACCAGGCATAGTCATGCATATAGCCACAGCCATAGGGTACGTTAATAAAGCATTCATTGACTTTTAATAGTTGTATATTAACTGTCATTGACTTTTAATAGTTGTATATTAACTGTGGTTTGACGTTTTTTCAGTTTTCACCGTTCAAGTTTTTGCATGCAGTATTAATTGATGAAGGCTACTAACTGAATACTGTGTTTTCATAATATGTATGTTTATAACTATATATGTTGTTTTGATGGTTTAAAATATAAATAAAATTTCTGTTGTTGACGTTGTGTTGTGTTGTTTTATTATAAAATAAGCAAACATACATGTGTTGCAAAAGGTAAAAGCAGCGGGTTTTTCTTGCCGAAAATACGTTGGCAGGGAAGCCTGTAAAGTGTACTTCAATGATATCGTCGAACAGACAGGTCGCTGTATAAATAAAATAACTCCAAAATAGGTGTGCGAGATTTTTGCAAGACTTCGATCTGGACTCATTCGACCTAATTCCAACTAATTAGGTTGTTTACAACTTTTCAACAAGCTAGGAAGCAGAAAATTATTGTAACTCCAAAATATAGGTGTGCGAGAGTTTTTGCAAGACTTCCATCTGGTCTAAGGCAAAGATTTTTACAAACCATTCAATTCGCACTTGAAAGATTCAAATTGATGCCGCATGAACAAAAAAAAATGCTATGTGCGGTATTGCTGTAAAACGCAACTAATTAGGCTGTTTACAACTTTTCAACAAGGCTAGGAAGCCAGAAAATTATTGTAAACAAAACGTGTTTCTAAATTTTGTCACAAGTTGTCATTTTGTGCTGTAAATTAATATATCAGTTTTATAATTTGTTGTTAACTTTAGTTTTTAGTTCATATTTTGACAAACATGTCTGTTGTTGCAAAAGCATTAAACAAATTACAAATTCAAAAATAGGTGTGCGAGATTTTTGCAAGACTCGGTCAAAGACTTTTACAAGCCATTCAATTCATTCAATTCAATTCACACCAAAGATTCAAATTGATGCATGAACCTAAAAACATACCATGTGCGGTATTAAAACGCAACTAATTAGGTTGTTTACAACTTTTAAACAAGGAAGCCAGAAACAAAACGTGTTTCTAATTCTGTCACAAATTATCTATGGTCATAAACATGTGAACGGGCATGTTCTGCGCACGTGACATTCTGGCATTTATTTGGCATATAGAAAAAGCTGAAATGCTCCGTCGGTGAATGAAGCTTGGTCGAGATTTTGGTCTCTACATATTCAAACATTACATACTGGAACCATTGTGTTCACGGTGGTCACATTTAAACTGACCACACATATAAACAAAAAAAATGCAAACGAACTGACATAAACGAACCATAGTGTTCATAAAAGTGATTAATTTTAACGAAGCATTTACATTGTGCTCGTTATTAAAACAACATTTAAACTGCATGGATGTTATAAGCACAAAAGAGTATGAATATTTTGGTGGTAGTGACATTTTCTGTTGCCATGGTTACCCGGATAAAGTGTCAAAACCCGTACTTTGAGCCAAAACGCCAACAACCATAACTTGATTAGTTTTTAAGCAATGTCTATGAAACTTTGGGGATAAAATAATCTTTAATATGTCTATGCAATGGACTAAAATCTTTTTGATCAGAGAAGTGGTTATTAATTTATTTAGTCAATAGTATACATACTTGGAATCAGAATACATATTTCAAAATAATAAAAAATCTAGTAAAGCATATCCCACCATTCTAGTTCATTGCATAGCTTTACATATGTGGAATATTCACTGAAAATTTGAGCAAAATCTACCAGATACTTTTTGAGTTATCAACGTTACGAGTTTACAAAATACCCGAAAATTGATATTAGAGAAAATACTGTTTAAAGTTTGTCTACCAAGTTTCACAGCTACATATACCTCTGCTTAGCTTCAGAAACCACTAGAACTCTTCTGCTCCATATTTTAGTCCCTCTACTTCTTGGTTCTTGTCCTCCTTTTTTTCTTTTTTAGTCCTCTGATCACCTTTCTTCTCTTTTTAGCTTTGGGCGTGCTTTGATATTGTGCTAGCGATACACGAGACTTGTCTTCAGCATGACAGGCGAATTCAGTGTACTTGCCATCAGGAATATTCATTGACTTGAAAAGTTCAACAATTGCATTGCAACCAATATTTAAGTGTAGGACACCATCATACACCCCAAACTCTAGGCAGTCTCTGTGAACAAAGACTTCCTTGGGAATTCTTTGCCAAATTAGAGCGTTCAGAGCCACGTTCTGATTTTGCGTTTTTCCGTGCAAGCACTTTTCCAAAAGACTGTTATCAGTAAGTCTCTAGTACACAGGCTTAACCAGCTTAATGATGTTCTTTGGAAGACCAGGACCATGTTTGTATAATTTTGTCCCATTTGCTTTGTCTTGTTGGTAACGACACCAGCTATCACTACCAGGTGGGCAATGGAAGGTATGGTAAGGGTTCGCATTACTTGAAGCACAATGGAAAAGACTAGCATGGATGGCTTTTGCCATCTTACCAAGATCTCCAACATTGGACCTAAGAGCAATGCCATAATAATTCTGTAGCTTATCTATCATGGCATTTGTCAGCTTGCCCTTACCACCCAGTCCAGGATTATCTTTCTTCAATTTACGGAGTGCCGTTCCTACTCTTTTCTGGACATGGCCGATACACTCTAACCTGAGTATCAGGCCCTCGGTATTGAAAGAGGGCCTGACACGAATCGCCTCAAAAGCCATGTTCAACATCCAGAATCTGGATGTTATGCTGATTGGCTAAGAGACGATAAAACGCATCATGTGATTCAAACCGGAAATATATGACGGCGTATGTAAACACCAAAAATAGAATTTGTAATTTTGTCAATATACTGTTAAAAGTGCTTTATTTCTGAAATTTATTTTCAATTAATTAAGCCTAAAAATGACAAAATAAGTACGAAAAGACGTTGAAGACGCTTTTGCAGCAACATTTTACTCGGTGTAAAACTAAAACTACATAGTCATAGTAGAAAGCGTGTCTAAATATCTCGCCGTAATAGTCGCCGTAGAACGAAAATATGTGGATGTCGGAAATTTTCAAATATTTAGTTCCAAAAAGTTGAAGCCTTATTTATCAGTTTATTGCCGAGCTGTTTTCCAAGACCTGCAAGGATATAGTAGTCAGCTCGCTCGAACTAATATGCCAACATCAGGCAGAAATTGAAGACAATAGCCGCTGTGTCAGACGGAATTGAAGCGAATAGCTGTCTCGAACAAACTATTAACATGACACGAGGACCGAGGAAGAAGAAATCCTATTCAGAGCGCCGAATGTTGTCTCTTTAGACTCCTGGAAAAAGCCATCGAGCTATGGTTCCCCGAATAAGGCATAGTTTACCCTTAGAATTCCATCATGTGGATATTTCGACAAAAACATACCGATTTTTCTCCGTATTTATTCAAATTTATATAAAACTGCAAATAACGGAATTTGCGTATTTACATACCTGTAGCGGACAACCGGAAATATGCTACAACCGGAAATAATTTTAATTGGCTGATATTCTGGGGGTGGAAAGCCCGTAGAGGCGAATTGTGTCAGGCTCTCTTCAATACCGAGGGCCTGATACTCAGGTTAGATACACTCTCGTTTCTGCACTTCAATGCCAGGATAGGTATTCTTTACTTCAGAGAAGGTTTTACTGTCCCCATCACCATAAAAATCTGTGTATCGCAGATTATTCTCTTCCACTGATCTTTCAAACATTCGCAAAGCTCCTTCTGGTTCCATAGCCGGAGCAGATCCTCGATAATTTGCCTTACACTTAGTGTGCTTGGCATTCCATTCTCGATATTCTTTACTATTTTTGTCCAGCTTTTCATAGTACTTGCATTCTTTACAGTGGCTGGTCAGGGCTTCAACGTCGAGAACTTTCCCCGTCTCCATGGAGATATCGGTAACACATCCATTCAGGGAAGAATGCCCCCTCCTCTGCCAAGAGCTATCACACGAAATTCCACAGTCGACAGGAATAGTGTCATCAGAGTCGACAGTCCTTTTCTTAGCACGTACTTCTTCTGCGGCAGATTTCATACATGCTTTTGCAACTTTCTTGACATGTTGGGTAATAGTCCGTGAAGACTTTCGAAACGACTTCGCTGTCAATGGTGATGGCATGTCCATAATAGAACAGAACTTAGAGGCCCCGCATGACCTTTCCCTATTCTCCGCATGCCATAAACAAGACGCTTATTTACTTCGAAGCTTTTTTCTGTTCGCTTAGAAGTCCGAAACAGATGCTTCCAACTGCAGTTTTGGAAACATAAACGAAGCTTTGAGGCACAGCCTTTGCGACTTACATCATCTTCTTCGAGGGAAAGACCAATACAGTCGCACTCGAACTGGGCATTTAAACAGATAAAACACATCAGCAATAAGTCCCATAGCGCAAAGTCTGAAACCAGTAATACTTTTATCACTATTATCCAACATTTTACCGTTAGATCTTTCGTTGATAAGTTGCTGCAGCTTTCCAAAAGAAGCTGAATTTCCGGAAGCCATGTGTTCATTATTTGTCTCGGCTTCCACTGAAGAAATCTTCTTTCCAGCGTCTTTTTCTGGTATTTTTACATCGCCCCCTTCTTCATTATCAACACGAGGATGTTTTGTAAAGCAATTTCCAGAGAATTGCCGTTTATTGCGCCTTTTACTGGCAAATTTACCCATCTTATTTTTGAAAATATCTTCGAATATAAAACGACCTTCGATTTTACTTTGCTAATATGGCGTTCTGGATCCGGAGCACAGATGAGGTAATACAGATGTGAATCTCCTGTGAAAATGTGTCACACGGATTAAATAAACTTTAAAATTGTATTAATTCACTATTTTATTAAATTTTGATAATGCAGAGGAATAAAACTATACATATTATAGAAGTATTCATGTTTTTTTTTATGCGAGAGTTATGTTTTGAGGCATTTATATCATTCGCTGTTTTGTTATTTATACACGAGCATCTGAAATTCCCAGCAAGTGTATTTCGCGATTTTAATAAGAAGTAGATAGGGAAAAAAAACAACTTTTGCTAAATAAAATGTTATATTAACACTTTTAATAAAAAGAAATCAATAAAAGTGATCGCTTACCGTTACTCTTGAAGAATTAATTCCAAAAATAGCCGTCGGTAGCGTAGACTTTTTAAAAAAAGAATTTTTCGTCTTTCGAACGGCGTTTTCCTATCTCTTTCCTTATTAAATTTCAGAACGACACTTGCCAGCGCTCGCCGGAAGTGAGAATTCCGTGTGACACAAAACAATCAGCAATTTCACAGGAGATTCACATCTGTACTTACCTCATCTGTGTCCGGAGAGTCCTGGGAATAGTTGAAAATAGAACCCAGTCCTTCGTAGCGACCCCACATTTATTTTGGGTTAATTTTGGGCAATAAATTTGAAGCTATTGGCCAAAAACAAAGGGTAAACAAATATGTTTCCATGGCAACGAAGCCACGAACGTCTAATAATCCTAAAAAAAATCCGTTATATGTATAATATAAATGTAAAATCAACATAGGATCAAAGTTTCATACTCTAGGACATATATGAGGGGGAAAAAATTTTTTAAAAAATTACTAATTTTTTTAAAAATTTTGGGGATCATTCCACCTTATAAAACAATAAATAACAGGCATAATTTTTGTCAGCTAACGTCCTTTAGGCATTTGTAACTTTGGTCCTATATTCAAAAATGGGAATAACAATTGAGCAATATCGTGCACAAATAGGTGCATGTTGTAGGCTAATTGCTGCCGAGCGGCAGCGAGGCAGCACTCTATTCTTGACATCTACAAAACTCGCGCCAGTCTCCTTTTCCGAAATATATATATTGTCGACAGAATCTCCGATATTAGAGAACTAGAAACCTGCACAAGTTTGACGAGAGGTGGAAGTAAGTCTAAAAGTATGAAATTCGTTGATTTTAAAACGCACTATATTGTTTAATATATAGCACTGACATACAGTTAGGAGCACGTAAAATGCACCTAAATTGACAGCCACATTAATATAACTTTCGATACACATAAATTTTGAAAGTTTGAAACCATTATACTCAAATATTATAAGCCTCACAACGGATGTCTTCTACGACGGAATGCATGCATGCATGCATGCATGCATGCACATGCATGCACGCAGTAATTTACAAATGTTTGTTTTTCAACGCACGCTCGTGGCAAGGTCCTCGGTAGAAAAAACCTTATTCAAAACGAATACACAGCGCGCAAATTACAACAAACATCATACAATCATTTATCGTATTGCTTCGTTCTTTAAAAACCTTATTCAAAACGAATACATAGCTTTAGTCAGTTAGTCATAGCGCGCAAATATAAACAACAAACATCATACAATAATTTATAGTATTGCTTCGTTCTTTGATATCCTTATTCTAAACGAATACATAGCGCGCAAAATTACGAAAGACATCATACAATAATTTATAGTAGAACTGGATTCGTCAAAACCCGTGTTTTGGGGTCAGATATAAACTGTCTCATCTAAATATAAACGTTGTTTTGTAAAGCTATATTTATATGTCAACGATGTCAAATCAATCGTATTATCGTGAAGGCTTAGGGAATAGTTTGCGTATTTCTTACAAATACTGTATATCACAAAGTTGTCGTTATAGGCCGTGTTTTTACGCTGGATGTAGCCTATAGCGTGTTTCGGAGATATGTGGTAACTATAAATGTGTTGGCCAGCCAAACATTGGGTAAATGTTGCTTGTGATGTTACTCTGAGTGTATATCCGCACCGGGCAAGCTTGAAAAATATGCCTGACCACGGTGGAAATCGAACCTACGACCTTTGGAATACCAGCCAAATGCTCTGCCAACTGAGCTACGCGGTCAGATCGGTTCGAGTATGTTATATTTCGGAACAGAATCTAGTTCCTTCGATATCAATGTAATCAAATAATCAGTAATGATTTTTCTGTGTTGGTGTAATGTACTCAGGTGAATATGAAGCTTGTGCTGTTACTCTGAGTGTATATCCGCCCGGGCAAGCTTGAAGAATATGCCTGACCACGGTGGGAATCGAACCTACGACCTTTCGAACATCACAAGCATCATATTCACCTGAGTACATTACACCAACACAGAAAAATCATTATTGGGTAAATGTGTTGACCGGCCAATAAAAACTAGCTATAGGCCTGCATACTCCAACATACTCCAACTTGGTCAAGGAAGCTTTTAGTGTTGATATGCCATGCACTTGGTCACTCACATGCGACTGCGACTGCCATCGTTCCTAAACTGCATTATGTATATATTTACCGTAAGTAGATCACATGGGTCTCGTTTTCCCGTTTGCACTAACCCCATTGGACGTTCACCTTGTAATCTAGAAATTCTATATGTCCAATACTTAGCTTATTTAAAATAAAAGCCTATTTAAAATAAAATAAAGCATCTTTTGATTGCGTAATTTATCAGCTTTCCATGTATATACATTTCAGTGGTTGAGTTTTCTAAACAAAAGCAACTCAGGCTACTCAGCGGTAACCTGCCCGAGGCAGCACTTTACCTTGAGATAGTAACTTCTAGTAAAAAAGACAAACCTAATTGTTTTGTAACTCGTATTCATCATGTGTGTGATATTATTTTGGTGCTACTTCTGTTGGTAGTAAAACTTTTGGGGTTGTTAATTTTAATATATTTTGCAGCAGTAACAGGTATTGTGCTTTCTTTCAACAAAACTAGGAAAAGGTTTAGTGAATATAAGAATTTCTGTAAAGCTCTCATGTCAAGCTGTCATGTTATTTAATCAGGCTCAGATGTCTGGGGACTTATATGTGTTCGTCCCATTGCTCGTAAGATTATCAAATGATGTCGAGGAGAGTCCAGGCCCCGCAATATACAATGTTGTAGATCCAACCAAAACGATATGCGCTGATTCCCATCAGGGTGATACAATAAAATTCCACCAATGCAAAATGCCGGTAAACAATGCGTTGCCATGTCATTGGTTGCTGTAATACATAATCAATGCGAGAAAACTGATTTCCGGGATTGCTGAAACTTGATTGTTTCTCAAGAAATATGTTGAAGTATACCTCCTGTTATGTTTTAAGGCTTTATTATAACTGATATCGATACTAACTAAATCTCAACTAACTAATAAAATGGCGGACAGTTCCTTTTATATGAAGTTACTGACCAGCAGTTTCAACTGTGGGCTCACACCCAATACTTCATGTAGTAAATGTATATATATTAGCCTAATACCATAACACCTCTCCGCTTGGTGTAAATGCTGTCCGATTTTCCTAAATAACATAACTAATATATTTCTAACCAATAAATACCAAATACTTAAGTAAATATCCTAATCAATTAAATATCTAAATTTGTTCGATAAGCCTTTTCGGTGGTTTGATCTTTCTACATGATCTTCTTAGTAATGGTGGGAGATGTGACAATACGAGGACTACCAAAGGCGCCTTGTGCCACTTCGGATGGCCCTGGGTTGCGGTCCATGCTTTCGGGCTGAGGAACCACTGGAGCTGCAGGAGTGGACTCCGTCGAAGAAGCACAAGTAGATGAAGTGGAGAAAACTTGTGTGCCTGTCGGAGAACCAAGATTACCAGGTATAGGTTTGGATCTCTCGCTAATCAAAGGTGGAGGTGCTGGACTATCCTGCAAAAGCTGATCGACATGGCGATTCCAAAGTCTTCCGTCTGGTAATGCTATAAGATATGAGTGAGGTCCCTTTCTTTCTAGAACGGTTGCAGGTTGCCATTTACCATTTGACCTGTAATTCCGAACGAGGATTGGTTGACCAGAATGAAATTCCCTAAACCTTGCATGTGGATCATGATAACTCTTCTTCTGTGACTGGCTGGATGAAACTACACTAGCAGTATCAGGTTTTACTAAAGACAGTCTAGTTCTCAATTCTCGTTGGAGGAAAATCTTGGCGGGCAAACAACCGGTAGTGCTATGCGGCGTCCCTCGGTAACTCAGTAGGAAACTCTGGATTCGCTGGAGCAAACAAGACTGAGCGCTGGACGTCTTTAAGTAGTTCTTAAACGTCTGTACGAACCTTTCGGCCTGACCATTAGATGCTGGATGGTATGGAGACACCAACACTCTTAGTATTCCATTTTGTTTCAGGAAATCGTCGTATTCAACAGATTGAAAAGGGGGCCCATTGTCGCTCATGACCTGCTCAGGCAAACCATAACGACAAAAATGCAGCGTAACTCATTGATTGTAGACCCAGTCGTTGTTGACTTCATGGGTCCAATCACCTCTGGCCACTTCGAATGTGCGTCGACCACAATCAAATAATGATTCCCTTCATCAGCTGCAAAGTCAACGTGTATTCGTTGCCATGGCTTGGCTGGCCAAATCCAAGGGGTAAGAGGCGCTGCTGCTGGAGATGGCTTAATATTTACACACTGCCGACAACTCTTGACGGTCTCCTCAATGGTGATGTCCAACTTCGGCCACCACACGTGACTTCTCGATATGGCCTTTATTCGGGCAATTCCCGGATGAGCTTCATGCCACACGCTTAGAACTTGTTTCTGGAACTTCGGGGGTATGATTACGCGTAGGCCCCAAAGTAGACAACCTTGCTCAATGGAAATATCGTTTGCGACGATTGAAGTATGGCTTCAAATCTAGATCGTCGCAGGTTTGACTCCAACCGTGTTGCGTAAAAGTAAACACCTTACACAGAACTTTATCATGGGCTGTCTCTCTAGCGATCTGTTTAGCGGAGACTGGATGGCAATTCAGCTGCTGATCCGAGATGCTGAATATACGTTCTTCTACACTGGCATCAGCCCGGTACTTTAGTGGGAGTCTGGACAGAGCGTCTGCGTTCGCGATGTCAGCAGAAGACTTGTGGCGGATTTCATACTGATAGGATGACAGGAGTAGTGACCAACGTTGTAAACGCGCTGCTGCCAGAACTGGGGTGGCTGAATCAGGTGCAAATATCTTCAACAAGGGTTTATGATCAGTATATAACGTGAACTTCCTTGTGTAAAGATACATGTAGAATTTGGACAATCCAAAAAACTATCGCCAGACCTTCTTTCTCGATTTGACTGTAATTCTTCTCGGCAGCATTCAATGACCGCGATGCGTATGCTATGGGTCTTTCAATGTTATCACGGAACCGATGGGAAATGACCGCACCAACGCCATATGGACTTGCATCACATTCTAAGATAAGTGGTAATTCCGGGTTGTAATGCACCAGGACGTTGGCTGACGAAAGGGAGTTCTTTGTCGATTGAAATGCTCTCTCGCATTCAGGTGACCACTTGAACTCACACCCCTTTTGCAGCAACCGATTAAGAGGATGAAGAATTGTACTTAGATTCTTGATGAACTTGCCATGGTAATTCGCCATTCCCAGGAATGATCTCAGCAGCGTAGAATTCTCGGGCGTGGTGCATTCTTCACTGCTTCGACCTTCTCTTCTGTGGGTTGAATTCCCGACGCTGAAATTATGCAGCCCATATACGTAACCGATTCCCGCATAAACTTGCATTTCTCCAATTTAAGACGAACACCATATTCCTGAAGACGGGAAAGTGTTGCCTCGAGATTGCGAAGGTGGTCACCGTCATCCTTGCCAGTAACCAGAATGTCGTCTTGGATAGCTGCTACATTGTCGATGCCTTGTAAAATAACATCCACACATGCTGGAATATTGCTGGCGAAGCTGCAATACCAAAAGGAAGTCTTTTATAGCGATAAAGTCCTCGGTGAGTGTGGATAGTCATGTATTGTTGACTCTCGTCATGAAGAAGTAGCTGCTGGTACGCATTCTTCATATCCAGTTTAGAAAATAGCTTTCCTCCCCGAAGCTTCTGGAAAACATCCTCAGGTAGTGGAATTTGGTAGTGGGGAACTTGGAGCTGTGGGTTAACAGTCACCGCATAATCACCACATGATCGAGTAGTGTTATCAGCCTTGGGGATGTGAACCATCGGAGTGGCCCACTCACTAAATTCTTCTTTCTCTATAATACCCTCCCGTTCCAAACGATCATATTCCTCATCGACCGCTGACTTTAGGGCTTAAGAAACAGGGCGGGCCTTACAGAACTTGGGATAAGCGTCATTCGTGACCTCCAACTTCGCATTGATCCCCTTAATTGTCCTCAAACCTTGCTTAAACACCTCTGAGTATGACTGAATTGTAGCATGCAAGCGATTCGTTACAGCTGCAGATAACTTTGGAATCGTTGGTACACTGACATTGAAAATTCTTTTCCAATCCACTTTTATTTTGGCTAACCAATCTCGTCCAAAAAGGGAGGGCCCCGACCCATCAACTACGACTAACGGTAAACTCATACGTTGACCATTATAGTTCACACTTGCATTAAACTGTCCACGAACTTTGATCGAGTCCCCAGTGTATGTATGCAGGAGTGTACTGCATGGTTTAAGTGAAATGTTATTGAAGTTATCATCAAATGTTTCTTTGGAAATTATAGAAATTCCAGCTCCGGTATTGTACACTGTTATTTTCAATATGTATTTCAATGTATGTTTGTTAGTTCCGCCTACTTTATACATGGCAGTTGAAAATGAATTGGGAAAATTTTCATTGTCAGATGCACTTTGCACATTATTCAACTGTGTCTTTTTGCCTCAGCATGCTTTAGCAATATGACCAGATTTACCACACGTATAACATATGACCAGAGTTACCACACGTATATCATATAACCAAACAATATGGCGTCGTCTGGATCGGCTTTGTTGCTTCTACTTATAACTATTGTGATTATTTGTCTAAACCAGGGCAGATTTGGCCCGAATTGGGAATGTTTGTGTGGGCATGCGGCTGTTAACAGTGTGAGCTGTTATACGCGGTCGAATCACCTCACTAATGGAAATATGTGCGTTCAAAGATCTGGGTATTTTAAACGAAGACTTAAATACTATAACAATTGTACAGCATGATTTTCCTTCGGAAAAATCCGCTTGATTGGTATATATCCTAATCCAGGACCGGATAGTGGCAATGTAAACAAGTTCAAAATCAGAGGCTTATATTTAAATGCTAGAAGCCTTGCGAATAAAACTGCCGAATTACAAGCGCTTGCTGTTGATGCTGACATGGTCGCTGTTACTGAGACATGGTTAAAGCCTGATATTTTAAACACAGAATTATTGCCTGGTAATTCATTTACAATCCATCGGAGGGATAGAACTAATTGAGTAGGTGGCGGAGTCCTACTTGCGGTCAGGAACTCAATTCGAAGTGTTCGAAGAACAGATCTTGAAACAAGCTCAGAAATTATTGTCTGTGAAATACGCCCCGAGTCAAAGGGTAAGTTACTCATTATAGTTTCCTACAGACCACCGGATACTGACCTTAAATACATCAAGGAGTTTAAAAAGTCGCTAAAACTTGTATCTAAGGCGAACTTTGAGAGAATTATTGTGCTTGGAGATTTTAATCTCCCCAATATTGACTGGTCAACGAGTATGGCAATTACTGGTGGAGCTATTGGGACGCGTTCGCTAAAACAGTTAAGGATAACTTTTTGTATCAGTTAGTTGATTTCCCGACCAGAGAAGATAATATTTTGGACTTGCTTCTAACTAACGTCCCAGACAAAATAGTTAACGTTCAGGGTTTTGAAGATATTCTCGTAACGGATCATAAACATATAAGCTTTCAGATTGACCTTCAAATTAAAAAATTACCAAAAGGGAAGCGAACTAAATACAATCTAAGAAATGCAAATTGGATCCAGTCTAAACAATTGATTAGTAAAAAAAAGAAAGAACATGCTTTAAAAACGAGAGACTCTGTGTTCGAAAATCCCAAAAGATTTTGGTCATATATAAGAGAATCACAAAGACTAATCAACAACCAAATTTTCTCAGAGATAAACAAAATTTTGTCTCTGACCCTGTTGGTATGGCCAATATGTTAAGTCGTTTCTTTCACTATGTTCTCAATTTTGGTACTAATGAACCTCCTGATTTTTCTCCTATTAACATACCAGAAAAGCAGCTTAGTAATATTCATTTAACAGTTTACGAAGTGTCTGAGGTGCTCCATAGCTTGGATGCAAACAAAGCTAGCGGTCCAGATAATTTGCCAAATAGAATTCTGGTAGGCGTTGCTGATGAAATTGCACCTTCAATTTGCCGTCTTTTCAATCTCTCACTATCAGAAGGCATAATGCCTAAACGATGGAAACTTGCTAATATTACTGCCATATTTAAAAAGAATGATCCGACAATTCCATCGAACTATAGACCTATCTCTTTACTCGATACGTTATCGAAAGTTTTAGAGCGGTGTGTTTATAATCACTGTTATGAACATCTACACTCTATGTTCCATTATCTCCAACATGGTTTCCTGAGAGGGCGGTCCACGAATACGCAGTTGTTGGTAGTAATACCATCAAATTCTGGAATGTATTGCTAGTGGTCAAGAAGTAGATGCAATTTACCTGGACTTTAGCAAAGCGTTCGATAAAGTACCACACAATCTGCTTTTATTAAAATTTAAATCGTATGGTATTTCTGATCCTACCCTCTCATGGTTTGGCAGTTACTTATCGGAAAGACAACAACGAGTGGTTATCAACGGACATTCTTCTGACTGGCTCCCTGTTACATCGGGCGTACCGCAGGGGTCTATCCTTGGGCCGCTTCTTTTCTTAATATACATTAACGATCTACCCAATTATTTAGAAAACAATTAATCAATTGCTCTTTATGCGGACGACTCCAAACTTTTTCGCCCTATCTATTTGCCTAATGACAGTTTTTCCCTTCAGAAAGATCTCGACAGCCTCAGTCACTGGGGCGAAAACTGAGCAATGGCATTCAATGTAAGAAAATGTAAAGTAGTACATTTTTTAAGGAAGAAATTACCTACAGTACATCCCTAATGGGTAAAAACTACTACTTGGCAGGTAACCAATTAGAAAATGTTCCTAACATATTGGACCTCGGAATTACTAGCTATCACCAACAACCTTTCATGGTCTAAACACATCGAAGAGATTGTCTCAAAAGCTAACATAACTCTTGGTCTTGTCAAAAGATTGTGTGGGGATATCAAGGACACAAATACCCGGAACCTTCTGTATTGTACTGTTGTTAGACCAAAGCTTGAGTACTGCAGTAGTCTTTGGTCTCCTTACACAGGTAAACATCGTTTACTTGTCGAAAATGTTCAGCGAAGAACTACCCGATTTATTCTTAATTACCCTAAAGATATGTCATATCCATTGAGGCTGCAGAAACTACGCCTTTTACCACTGGAATTCAGAAGAGAGATTTCGGATTTAACTTTATTGTATAAGTCCAGAAATGGGCTAATAACTATGGACGTGAATAAGTACCTGAACACTAACGTTTATTGCTATCGGACACGTAATTACGACCCAAATAACTACAACTTGATTATTAAGCACAAACAAGATTATTTTAGAAAGTCGTTTTTTCTTAGGGCTGCAGAACTTTGGAATACGTTACCTTCTAACTTGTAATTCAATTAGTTTATTTAAGACTAAAATCACTAACCTATACTCCGATAAATTAGCTACGTATATTGCTTACCTGCGTGAATATTTCTTAGTGTATTGTATTGATGTATTAGGGGTAGGAAGGCAATTGGGACATTAGTCCTGTATCTAACTCCTGCCAGTCGTCTGTTTGGTAAACTTGTAACTTGTTACTTGTGTGTATATATATATATATATATATATATATATATATATATATATATATATATACTGTATATATGTCATTATAATTTACTGACGAATTTATTAAACTAAACTAAACTAAATTTCTGTACTTACAGCTTGATCTTACATGCCCTTTTTTACCACAACTAACACATGATATTGTCCCTTTTTCAAACTTCGAAGACTCTTCTGGCTCCCCTTTTGAATGTCTCAAGTTTCTCTGACGCGCAAGATTCCCACCAACCTTGTTAACAGAGTGTGAGCCCGTTTGCAAAATACCTGCGATGCCCTTGTCGGCTGCTTCGACTCTCAATGCTACGTTTAAAGCGTTACTTGTCAAACGTGTACTCATCGGCCAACAACTTCTTCTTGATATTCGAGCTTCTCAGACCACACACGAACCGATCTCGCAACGCTTCGTTGAGATACGCTCCGAATTTACACGTAGATGCGAGTCGCTTCAGATTCGCCACGAACTCCGACACGGATTCGCCTTCTTTCTGAACACAGTTATGAAAACGATATCGTTTAGCGATTACTAGCTTCTTGGGGGCGTAATGATCTTTCAAAATAGCAGGGAGTTGAGTATAGGTCTTGGTAGACGGTGAATCCGGTGAACAGAGATCCGATAGAACATCATACGTTCTCGCACCGATAGCAGAGATAAGAATCGCCCTTCGCTTGTTCACTTCTGCAGTATCGGCCGGCACATCAGTTGCCTCAAAATACTGTTCAATACGCTCTAGGTAGCGTGCAATGTTCGTCGAGGTTGGGTTAAATTCTTCAATCTTACCCAAACTGGTCATATTTTTTATCCTCGTCGCCAATTGTTATGTTTCAAGGCTTTATTATAACTGATACTAACTAAATCTCAACTAACTAATAATATGGCGGACAGTTCCTTTTATATGAAGTTACTGACAGCAGTTTCAACTGTGGGCTCATACCCAATACTTCATGTAGTAAATGTATATATATTAACCTAATACCATAACACCTCCCTTTTATCAAACCTACGGTAAAATAATCCGACAATAGCCTACTCAAAGATAAGTCAAAGCCAAAGACTCTTCTGTGTGTGACTGTGTGTATGTTTATACAAATATACTGTATATGACTGAATATTCGTAACTTATGTTTGACATGGAGAATACAGACCACATAATAAATTTGATAAATAGCTTTAATTGTGACATTAGCTTTACTGTAATTTTAATACGCGAGAACTTTTTACTTTGTGAAATATAATCCCCGAGACGGCGTGGAGCGCCGTTCCGGCCGTTAGCCCGGGGCGAAGGTACTAGTTCCGCCTGGCTATATACACCCGAGGAAAGGGAAGCATTAGCGAAGTCTAAAGTTCATCAATGATCGCGAGCGTGGGTCACTAACCGTGGGTGGTCATCCTCACTGATCTAAAAAATATGGCTGTTTGCCAGGAGTGGTAAACAAGATTTCAATTTTCAAAAGCATATATTTGGAAAATCACGTTTCACACAATGAGCTTTGAAGCAATTTTTGTTTGAAGAAATGAGAAGAATTGATCTACTGTGGAAAATCGTGGAATATAGGGCAAGTTTGCTTTGAGATTTATTGAGATTTATTGCGATTTGCGTAAAATATGCACTGCTTTCCTTTTCAATGAAGCTGTCAGAAAGTTTGCTAAATTATTTAAGAAAAAAAGGTAAAATGTAAAAGAGAGCCAATTAATGTGAAAACCGAACTGAAATTACTCAACAATTTGAACTTATTTTGTTTTATAAAGTAAAAACAGTTTATCGGAAAAAGCAGTTTATAGTTTAATATTAAAATGAACGTTTAAAACCATTTTCCGAAGCGATTCAGGTTAAATTTTACATTAAATCAAAGCTCAGAAAATGCAGAACAACCTACCTACAGTACATATTTCGGAAATTCATTGTCATATAGTTAAAAGCAATAATCTTTCAACTATTTTTGGCGTGTTGTACAAAAAATATAATAAAAATTAAATTTATCGTGTTGCCATGGCAACATTGACGTAAACGCGAGCCTTCGTTCAGTGTTGATTAATTACTAATACGTTATGTTATAGCAATGGTTGGAAAATACATCGAGGGGTTGCTGCATGTATGCTGGTGTGGGACACTGCAATTAGTCTCTTTAGATATCAATATAGGCCTATATAATAGTGTTAATATACATAATTATTATATAGAGTTTAAATATGTTGCACTAAAGGGTAGAGATAAACGGCCCATGGTTTAATTCATGGAAGCCGAACAAAAAGGAAGCTAAAGTATACACCCTGATATACGCATTTCCCTGAGGCTGAGAATCTTTATACCTACTTTACTACCTGCCAACCTCCTACCTATCTACAAGTTTCAAATATGATGAACTGTTGAATTAAATTATTATTAAAAGTATTTTCAAAGATAAGTCATCGACAGTTTTAAAGTGAGCATTCAGTGTTTGGCAGTGTCATGTTTACATTGTAATTTGTGGCAAAAGTTACTTTTCAAAATTTTATCTGTCGTCAATAAACAAGACGCCTACTATTAGTAAATCGGCACAGAGTATATCAACGTTTGCAAACAACAAATCTAATGGCATATTTTAGAAACAGATAGAAGAGAAAATACAAAAACGTTGGCGGCGACTGATCGGTTGAAATCAAAATATGTTTGAGAGCTGTGAATACCCAACTTCAAACTTTAATAAAGTATACGATTTTATTTGTTTCTTGACTTGGCTGTTGATAAAATGCTAGTGTTTTTGTAATTTAAAAGCAAGCAGAGATATAAAATAGAAGTTAGCGGGCGCTTCCAACTATGTATCGTAAAATCCCACTCCTGGTATTAGAATTTTTAAATTTAACGTTTTCTGTGGAAGATATAATTTGCCACTTTGCCACTCCACCTTGGGCAATTAATTTTTGTAGAGACACGTGACCGGACAATACCAGGGTCTTTCCCAAAAAGACCCTGGGTACGAGAATGGATGTGAGTGTGCTGGGTGAATATATAGTGTGGAAGTTCCCTTCCTTCCCAATTATGTTATAAACATACGTACATGCACGCAACATCACGCAAGTCAGTCAAGGCAATTTAATATAAACTTCGCACGTTATAAATGAAAGCATATTGATACAAAAAGCTTTACTCGAACATTTTATTTTTATCACTTTTTCATAATATGTAAGACATTTTAATTCGTTTTAATTCTTAATATGGATAACACGAAACATTTCTTCAAATAAATTAGTTTACATTAACCTAATGGATAGAGGTGTATCCAAGATCAGAAATTGTAAGACGGATAATGAGAAAACATATTTAATGAAAATGGAGACGGAACAATTGTAATATGCCTGGGTTCATCTCAGATATTATCATGTTGTTGGTTGATGTAAATTCACTCGTTTACATTACGGATTTTTTCGAACATGACTGTTCCCCATCCAAAGATGTTTAGAAAAAACCTTGTCAAAAAAGCAGATTACGAAAAAGAATTACCGTGAGTGGGTTGATAAAATACAAAAGTAACCGGAATTAAAATTGTTTATCTGGAACCAGCCATTTATTTATTTATTTATTTATTTATTTAGCTTTTGCCAACTAGGGCAGGGTCACCACAACAGCATATGCCAATTACTGTGGGCCCTTTTTACCTAACCCACCCTGTCAACTTTCCCTGTGGGAGGAAACCGGAGTACCCGGGGAAAACCCACGGCTTTCGGCAGAGCGTTGACTTTTACTCTTTTCACATGAGGACTGGGTTCGAGTCGCATTGAGAAGGTACTTAGAGAGATTCGAACCTGCAGCCTCAGAGGTGAAAGGCAAGTGCGCTAACCATGATTATCATGAATAAGTGGTGGAATTTGCACGATTACAGATATGACTGATCATTGACTGCAAAAAGAACGACAGATTATAGGAAGTGCTCGGATGAATGAATCTCCTTGATAGGCACTACGGATGTTCCTTTGACGCTAATTATATACAGCCAATGGCAATGCTGGTAAGAACGGAATAACTTAGGCAGAGTAAGATGTGTAAATACTCTCTATTTAGTATATATTTGTGAAGATGTTTTCAGAGTAGGTCCACACCGTGCAAGCGAGAATTTTGCTTGACCTAGATGGGAATCTAACCAGCGATCTTTGGTTTTCTGATCCAAAAAGCTCTGCCAAATGTACTACGATGTCCCAAGTGAAAGATATTTTCGCTAATATCACCGTGTTTTTAATGATCACAAAAGCTACAGTGCCATGGGCTTGATTCCAACCGCAATCAAGCAAACTTTTCGTTTGCCCAGTTGGACACACTCAGAGAACATCTTCGCAAATATATATTTCCACTAAGTGCATAACACTAAACGCAAAAATACATTATCTATTCAGTATTTATTCATTGAAGTCAATTCCGCTAACCTACTACAATTCCCGTTAATTAATTAATTAATTGCTGTAAGTTTTAATTATCCATTTTAATTATCCAGTCAATTATCCAGTCAATACCGCTAACATACTACAATTCCCGTCAATTATTAATTTGCCTGTTTTAATTAATATCCATTTTTGAAACTACAACTGATTGAAAAGTCAGTTACTTCTTTACTAATATCTGCTCCCTGTGTTCGTTTTCTTGATTTAGACTTTAAAGCGTCCATGCGAATTCGTTAACATGCCATCCTGAACCACCAAATGTTAAGGTTTATCTAATAGTTCTATAATATAATATTGACTAAAATACGTTTAAAGCTAGCAAATAGGCCTACAAATCAACATGCCTAAATAGAACATAAGTACTGATTAATATTCAGTCCAAATTTACCGATCATTTTCAGTTAAACTAAATCATCAATATCCTGCATTTGTAATGCAGCTTTTTGAATGCCTTTTGCTGTTTTCACCTGATCTTCTATTTCTTTCATCTCGGCTTTTTCCATCGCGGGCATAACAGCTTCCACTTCAAATTTAATTCTCCCAATCCTGTTATCCAGTGCTTCGGCGATATCTTTCTGCTTTCGTTTTGCGATGGCTTTGATGCTTTCTTGGGCTTCTTCGCAACCTTGGGTTAGCTCGGCTTTCTTTTTCATGATTATTGGCAAATCCGTAGCGCTAGTGGGATCGAGTGAGATCAGGCTACCAAGACAGGTGATACGACCCATGAGATGCTTCTGAGAAACTTCAGTATAAGTAGCAGAAATGGTGTTTACAACATATGCGATTTGATTTGCTTTAAATGCTTCTTCGAAAAGAACGTCTCTCATCGTGTCGGACATCTGCCCACCAAGCTCTTTTTGAACTTTCGATGTTTCAACGAACTGTTTCAATGAAGTGACCAAGCAACACTTGACAAGATTCGAAAGCATTGTAAAAAACTGGACGAGTTTACCCCACTCTTCTCTCAGTTCGCCAAGAGCTTTCATTCCCTTCACCAAAGTTGCTGTTATCTCTTCCAAGTTTAATTTCTTTGGATTTTGTTTTGCCAGGTCAGCCAATATTTCTCCCATTTCCTTCATTCTTGTATCGAACTCCTGACAAGACTGGTCGTATCTTTTTCGGCTTTCGGTCAAATTCTGCTTTGCCATTTCTGTTTTAAAACGTGCAGATTGCATCGCTGACTTCATTAAACTTTCGTCATTCTCAACTTGCTGGGTCGCTTGATGCGGAGATTTATTCGATAATGAATTTCCACCATTTGCCATGCTTAACCCAAGACTGGCTGTCTCGACATCCTTTCGGAGTTTTTCTACTTTTGACATGACTGCATCTACGTTCGCCTTGTCTCTCTTGAAGGCTTTTCTAAGATTTAATAACATCTCGCAGATATCCATGGCATCGGTGCAAAGTTTCTTCAGGTTTTCATCTATTTGGGGGGAAGCTGTGCGAGGAAGCTTCTTCAGGAAACCTTTAAATATTTGCTTGGCTTTTTCAGCTCCTTTATTAATCATTTCCCATTGTGGTCGACCGTTTCCTTCACTTTTATCACCAAAAGCAAGGTCCTCGATGAAAGCTGTTTGCGCTTGAATTTCGCTAACCAGGAGAATCAGATCATTCAGCGAAGATTCTGGCTTTGTTGGGCTGCTTCTGGAGGTGGCATCGACAGGTTTGGAGACACGACCAGATTTTTCAGACGAGCCTGGTATGAGATTGGTAATGTTTTTAACAACCCCAATAAAGGCATCTGCAACAGCCAACCCCAATAAATCCCCAGTTGATGGTACTTGTTCCATCGCATCCTTGAATTCCCGTTCTGCATTTTCCATTTCCTTCATCGTTTCCTTCTTTTGCTTCTCGGTTTCTTTTTGCCTCTGTTCCACAGATTTTTTGCTCTCATTCAACACCTCGATCGCTACTTTAGTTTTTTCCAGCTCTTCATCGTAATGACCTTTCGCATTGGTGCATGCTTCAAGAAGCTCACCAACTAAATCCATGACGTCAATGAACTTTTTCTCAACACTGGTAGCAAGAACTAGACAATCATCAGCGATAGTTTGAATGCTATCCAAAGACTTTGGCAACATAAGCTCGACCTCACGTGAGGTTCCTATAAAAGTAGTGCAATGTTTAAAAAATTTAATCCCTCTGTCCAAGAAACAAAAATACAGAAAAAAGGTTGCTTCAATCCCCATAATCATAATCATAATCATAACAATACAAGATCTGAATTATTTCTATGTTGGTGTAATGTACTCAGGTGAATATGATGCGTGTGATGTTACTCTGAGTGTATATCCACACCGGGCAAGCTTGTAAAATATGCCTGGTATGCTTGGATATACACTCAGAGTAACATCACAAGCATAATACAATATCTATGTTATGAAATTATTAAAAGGAAACTTAATTAAAGAACATCTAATAAAATCTTATCAATTTAAAATTGATAATTTGCTGCTCCAACGGTTATCTGTACATATTTGGCTCTTGAAGATATTATTGAGGATGTTTGGCTCTTTTTTATGCCGTTCGTTTGTCTTTCGTTTTTATGTTTTAAAATTTCAACTAACCTTGCAAGATCCTTACTAAACCCAGTAATTTTTAATTTCATTATGTTATAAAAAGTCACTTGACTTGTCTAGCCTTAATGGTTATTTCAGGTGGCCTATACTCATCAATTGTAATAGTGTGTATATAGAGAATAATACATGGGAGCGCGGAAATACCAGATTTATTTCGAGTGTTGAACATGATATCTCACGAGTGAGCGCAGCGAACGAGTGAGATATCATGTTCAACACGAGAAATAAATCTGGTATTTCCAAGCACCCATGCATTTTTGTGTTTATTATATAAACAAAATTCAGTGAAAAACAATAAAACGTCCGTGGCAATGCGTTTTACAACAAATGATATTTTCACACGTAAAAATATCGTATTTTTTACGTGTGTTTAAATACTATTTTTCTCAGTGGCCAAAAACTCTATATAACACTTATGTTTATATAATAAAGTAATATTCTCTATTCTTCCTTTCGATTTGCAATGTCTGAGTACAAAGAATTTATCGTTGTCGTTGTCGTTGTTGTTATCAATAACCATCTAGTATAATCGAGAAAATCTATTAGTTATAATTATTATAAAAATCTTTATATCTTTTTGAACTTTCGAGCATTCTGGAATGTATATATTGATGTGAAAGTGACTGTTCACAGGCTAGTGACTGCTAACTATACTTTTAATCAAATAAAATATTTCTACAAGAAAATCGATGAAAATTTACTTAAATTATAGAAAATTGCTATTATGAAAAAATATTTACAGACATTCGAAAGATACATATAAAGGCAGCCAAACTGTGTGCCAACAATTTCATATGATTTAAAACGTCGTCTTCGAAAGGTTTCATTTTCAAATGGTGTTTTGATGGAAGGAAGTCCGAAAGGGTTGTTTTCATTTGGACTTTTGCCTCCTTTTAGGAAAAAATGAGCTTTCCATCTCATTACATGTAAAAAGCGCTTTCTCAATTATTAAATTATTATTATTATCATGCGTTTTAATACACTTTCCACTTTTTCAATCAAATTTTTCAATCATATCTGGGTACATTACGAAGTTGCTTCTTAAGGTAAATAATAGGATCCGAAAACAAGTACGAGTATGTTTTGGTTTACGATAGCCAAATAGTGCTCAATACCATATATGTAAAGCAAATAGAATAGTTTTTACCTCAAAAAGGTTGCCACTATAAGGTTTAATTATTTTTGGAAATTAAAAGAAAACAAGCAATATTTCGACATGACCTGGTCTATTCTACAACACTCTTTTTCATATGCGGGAGGATCAAAAAGATTTAATTTGTTTTTGGGAGAAAAACTCTGTATTTAGAAAGAAAAAGACGACAAACACAATTTGCTAAATAAAAAATCGGAAACTGTTTCGACTTGCAACCACAAAACGAAATTCCTAGTAAATAATCTCAATCATACTCGTATATATATATATATATATATATATATATATATATATATATATATATATATATATATATATATATATATATATATATATATATATATATATGCGGGTGATTATTGTTATCATGAGACGGTGTAGGGAAGGAAGCTGAGGGTGGGTTAAAGGTTAATGAAGATGAATTAGGAGATTTGTGAGAGCGTTTCAGTTGTAAGTAAATTGTAGGGATGTCAATGTGACGGTTAAATGTTTGTTTTGTCTAAACTATGCCACGCTTCTTTAAACTCACGGGAATGTTTAGTAGTTGCTTGTCCTAAGCATCTCGTTTGAGGCCAGTCAAATTTGTGTCCGTTGTCGTCTGTGTGTTTAGCTGAAAGTGAGCTATGGTCGTGTCTGTTGATTGCGTTCTGGTGTTCTGTTAGTCTTGTCTGAATCTTTTTAGAAGTTTGTCCAATGTACTTATCCGGACAGTTTTTGCACGGGAAGATATAAATGGCGTTATGTTTATCCGTTATATGTGTCTTGTCTTTGCGTTTAGTGAAGTTGGACCTAAGTTTCCATGTTGGTTTATGTCCAACGTCAATGTTGAAAGGTCGGAGGAGTCTAGCTGCCATTTCTGATGTAGTGTGTATGTAAGGAAGTGTAATTCTCGTTTTTGTTTGGTTAAGTCGGTCCGTGTTAGTTTGTTGTTTATGTTGTAGGCTAGTACCTTATTAATGAAGTCTAAAAGGTAGTCATTTTTGTAGAAAGTAGAGTATAAATACTTGCGTTCGCCTTGTTTGGATTGATCAGTGTTACAATGTGTGTCAATTCTGTTGAATAGAGTCTTTATGCAACTAACTTTGTGTTGTGTTGGGTGATTGTTATTGCAATTTAAAATTTGATCTGTGTGTGTTTTCTTGCGATAAACTTATGTGGTTAAAGTGCCGTTGTCTGTTTTTGTTATTAGGACGTCCAAAAATGCGAGTTTGTTGTCATGTTCTTCCTTTTTGGCAAATTTGATGTTCTTAGTGGTGTTGTTAATTGTTTGTAGGATGTCGTCTGTTTTGTCCTTTGTGACAGTAGCAAGTAATCGTCTAGATACCTGTCCCATGTTTTAATGTCGTCCTTGTTTGCAACAGCTTTACTTTCCAGATATTGCATCACTGCCTCAGCAAGGAAACTGGAAAGTGGCGACCCCATAGCAGTGCCGGAGATTTGTCGGTAGTAATTGTTCTGAAAGCAGAATTCAGTTGAAAGGCATAGATCAAGTAAATCAAGAATGTCTTGTATATTAAGTTCTGTCTTTGTTTCCCACGAAGTATTGTTAGCTAGTAAGTAGTTTTTCAGTTATTAGTCGTGCATTGTCAAGTGGAATGGAAGTGAACAAAGAGACAACATCAAAGGAAATCATGATTTCAACAGGTTCAACGTGGGTGTCTTTTATTTTCGACAGAAAGGCGTTAACATTCTTAACAGAATGTGGTGATGTACTCACCAAAGGTTTGAGGATATCAGCGAGGTATTTTGACAAGTTGTAGGTGGGGGATTCAGATAGAGAAACAATTGGTCGGAGAGGATTATTATCTTTGTGAATTTTTGGAAGTCCGTAGAATTTAGCGAGTGTTGCGTCTTTGGGTCTGATTTCATCATAGGTGCGTTTGTTGACTTTTTTTTAATGCAGTTAACTGTAGTTTTACTTGGGTCAGTGGCTGACAAGTGTTAGTGTCATTAATTAGTGTTTTGGCTTTATTGGTTATGATCCGATTTATCCATGACAACCGTCATACGTCCCTTATATGCGGGTAGTATTACAATATCGTCGTCTTTCTTAAGGTCTTCCAAGGCTTCTCGTTCTTGTTTGGTTAGGTCAATTGGATGGTTTAAATGTAGGAGATTAGTAGTTACTTGGTGGTGGATGTTGTTTTTAGTTTCTTCCGTTAGTTCAGTATTCCTTAAAGCTGATTCAAGATCCGCGATAAAATCTAGTTTCTTGGCGTCTGTTGTGTTGTGTTGTAATTTAATCCTTTAGCTAGCACTTGTGTCTGTTGTTCGGCATGTTGTAAAACGTGGACTGGACCTTCGACTGGACTGGACTTGTAAAACATGAACTGGAGACTTGTAAAACATGGACTGGACTTGTAAAACATGGACTTGTAAAACATGGACTTGTAAAACATGGACTTGTAAAACATGGACTTGTAAAACATGGACTTGTAAAACATGGACTTGTAAAACATGGACTTGTAAAACATGGACTTGTAAAACATGGACTTGTAAAACATGGACTTGTAAAACATGGACTTGTAAAACATGGACTTGTAAAACATGGACTTGATCTTCGAGCGAATTGTTATCGATGATAGACCTTATTTTGGCCCCAAAATTGGACAGACATCAGAGACCTTAAGCTTGACGTTTACGGCAAACGTCGAACCGCTAAAGAAGTTTTTTATTTTACAACTCTATTACACCAGCTTTTACACCAGTTTTGAAATATATTAAACAATTATTAGACTTGTGCATGGTAATTAGCAATAATTTAAGGCATGTAGTAAAACACTGACTACCGGAACACCGGAGCACCACCGGAGCACCACCGGAACACCACCGGAACACCGGAACACCACCATTTTGTTTGGGGTTAGGGTTAGGGTTTGGGGTTAGGGTTAGGGTTAGGTTTGGGGGTTAGGGTTGGGGTTAGGGTTAGGGTTAGGTGTGGTGTTCCGGTGGTGTTCCGGTGTTCTGGTAGTCAGTGTTTTACTACATGCCATAAATTAAGAAAGCAAATTAACCACTAGTCAGTATTCACCAAAGCAGTAAATCAAGATTGGGCGTTTCAAGTTGACGTTTGTCGTATAAATTTCATGCTTCAACGACTACAAACCCTCGTAGCAGTTCAAAGACAGTTCAAGTGTGAAATTTATACGCCAAACGTCAACTTGAAACGCCAAATCTTAATTTACTGCTTTGGTGAATACATAATTGTGGTTATTTTGCTTTCTTAAATCATTGTGAAACAGGGCCTCTTTTAAGGATGTGTAACTTGGGGGGAGGCATATTTCGCGGGGGACCTGGAGAAACCAGCATATATATGCATGGTTTAACTAATTAGTGTACGTCATAGGGCAGCAGATCACGCCCGTTGAGGATTGTGAGACAAACTAGTCGAGCACTGAAGGCGCGAGCCATCTAGAGGGGTCTGCAGGGGGCATCCCCCCAGAAAATTTTGGATTTCTTGAATCTCAGATAGGCTATTTCCAGCATTTTGAGGAGTGTTCCAACAAGAAATTAACCTTATAAACAGTGACACAATTACTACAATTTTACAATCTCCCAAATGTAATCCAGTCCCACCGAGGCAACATGATGTGATGATGCGGTAATGAAAACGTGCGTGGTATAGCATTATCATTCACCACACTTCAAATTCTACAGTACTGTATTACATGTATTGGGGTACTTGAAATCGACGCATTCGTGCCCTCAGTGACACTGAAGAGCAAGATAGGGTGGTCTCTTTGGAGTATCTTTGCTTGAAAAAATTAAACTAGAATTTCGTCCTAAAATGCCATTTCATGCCTTTTTTCCACGAGAAAATTATTTCGGACATGGTTTAGGTTTCTGGCGATGCTTAAATTTCAGTCCTACAAATTCCATCCTGCAGATGATGGTGAAATTCAGAAATGTTAAAAACTTAAATTTTCTCACTTTGATATACAATTGCTGGTTGACCACCTACTGCAGGTTATAGGGACCTTGCGCTGGAGGGGACAAAATTGCCGACTGGAGGGGCCACTAAGAAGGCTGGGGGGAGGGGACATGTCCCTCCCCCAATCTATATGTTAAACTAAGATGCCCTGTTGTCAAATACCACAAGTTTAATAATTGTTTAATATATTTCAAAACTGGTGTATTAAGGTCTCTACGAAAAAGATTGGGCCGAGTCAACATAATTTTTCGACTAGAAAATATTTAATCATTTTTTGCATATCTATGTTAAATAGTTTTTTAACTAACATTTTGACAAAAAAAAACTTCCACTATTTGCATATTTATTTTCTATCATGGCTAGAATGTTGTAATTAAGCTTTAAATTCAGTTGCAAAACATGAATTTAATTTCGATAGACATAGTTAACTAACTATAAACAACTGAAACAAAACGAAACTCATAACAAAACATTTCATTGTCCTTAGTGCCTAACAAATATTACTGGTATCCATTATTAAATATATTCAATCGTATCCGTGTGAAAGGAAAGCTTGGTTGTAGTAATGTCCGCAAATGGAAAGTTCCAACACAGACAATCAAGATACATGTTATGATCTGGGAACTCGATGATGAATTTCAGTCAATGATTCTCAAGGCCAAGAGATCGAACTTTTGCAATTGAACTATTATTGTAACTATTATTGTTATTCAAAATGTGATCATTACGTTATTTTTTAAAATTTTGGAGTCGGTAGAAAAATGGCTTACGATGAATATCCCTCCGTGCATGTACATGCACTATATAGTATGGTAGAGTTAATAATGCCTATCAATATGGTACCGGTACCACATAGATATGCAAAGAAGGATTCAATATTTTCCAAGTTAAATTATGTTGACTCGGTCCAATCTATTTCGTTATTGTCTGTCCAATTCCGGGGGCAAAATAAGGTGGAGGCAGGGGCAAGCCAATCTCGTTCCCCGAGCCTGCGATCCTCGGGAAGGAACGCAAGGCTCTGGGATAAGCCGTTGCCGGAAGCCAGGAATCCTGGCTAAGATTGAACTATAATTGAACTACGCATTCCGATTTCAACGGCCAATCAGATTCCTCCCTGAAACGGATTATCCTAGAGCCTCACGTTCCTTCCCGAGGATCGCAGGCTCGGGAAACGAGATTGGGGGCAAGCGAGCACAGCAGAATAGTTCGTGTATTTCTACCTGTTTCTCTATTATAGGTGTACATATAGAGAAACACATCATCGATAATAAATTCGCTCGAAGTCCATGTTTTACAAGTCCATGTTTTACAAGTCCATGTTTTACAAGTCCATGTTTTACAAGTCCATGTTTTACAAGTCCATGTTTTACAAGTCCATGTTTTACAAGTCCATGTTTTACAAGTCCAGTCCATAGTTTACAAGTCCAGTCCAGTCGAAGGTCCAGTCCATGTTTTACAACATGCCCTGTTGGGCAGTAAGTTCCTTGTGGGAGATATTTTTAACCCACGTGTTTGCGTTGTTATGGTTACGTTGGTATGATCTTGAATTATTGAGTTTCCTTTGAATTCTGTGCGTTTTTTTGATTGATATTCTTGAGTTATATTGTTAATGGTATCTTGTAATAACTTTGCGTCTGATGTGTTGTTAGTTGTGGTAAAAATGGCGTTGCGGTGTTCCTCAATTCTTCGTTGATATGTACGTAAACGAATATGTGATTCTGTGATTAGTACTTTTAACATGCGCTGTCCATTGTCATGAGAAGTGCGTATAGCAAAAGCGCTTTTCACCGGTGGTTGGTAATTAATACTGTTAGGTAGGATGTTCAGACGTTTGCAGTTGTGAAGAAAGTTGAGTTGTTCAAAGGTTGATGATTTCTTGCATGCGAACAATTTCCATTTTCTGGCGTGTTTGACAGTAGCTATCCCATATATATATATTTAATAGATTTGAAGATTTGTAATTTTTGTAATTTGTTTTCAGCCAGGAAATGGGAATTCAGCAAGAAAATCAGCTTTAATTTAAAGAATACTGAACTAACGGAAGAAACTAAAAACAACATCCGCCACCAAGCAACTACTAATCTCCTACATTTAAAATATCCAATTGACCTAACCAAACAAGAACGAGAAGCCTTGGAAGACCTTAAGAAAGACGACGATATTGTAATACTACCCGCAGATAAGGGACGTTTGACGGTTGTCATGGATAAATCGGATTATAACCAATAAAGCCAAAACACTAATTAATGACACTAACACTTGTCAGCCACTGACCCAAGTAAAACTACAGTTAACCGCATTAACAAAAAACTTATATCTCTCAAGGACCAAGACAAACTCAATAAACGCACCTATGATGAAATCAGACCCAAAGACGCAACAATCGCTAAATTCTACGGACTTCCAAAAATTCACAAAGATAATAATCCTCTCCGACCAATTGTTTCTCTATCTGGATCCCCCACCTACAACTTGTCAAAATACCTCGCTGATATCCTCAAATCTCTGGTGAGTACATCACCACACTCTGTTAAGAATGTTAACGCCTTTCTGTCGAAAATAAAAGACATCCACGTTGAACCTGATGAAATCATGATTTCCTTTGATGCTGTCTCTTTGTTCACTTCCATCCCACTTGACACTGCACGACTAATAACTGAAAAACTACTTACTAACAATACTTCGTGGCAAACAAAGACAGAACTTAATATATACAAGACATTCTTGATTTACTTGACCTATGCCTTTCAACTGAATTCTGCTTTCAGAACAATTACTACCGACAAATCTCCGGCACTCCTATGGGGTCGCCAGTTTCCTTGCTGAGGCAGTGATGCAAGATCTGGAAAGTAAAGCTGTTACAAACAATGACGACATTAAAACATGGGACAGGTATGTAGACGATTAATAGCTACTGTCACAAAGGACAAAACAGACGACATCCTACAAACAATTAACAACACCACTAGGAACATCAAATTTGCCAAAGAGGAAGAACATGACAACAAACTCGCATTTTTGGATATCCTAATTGTAGGTTTGAAACGCTTATCCTACTGTAATAATAGTTCATTATGTTTTAGTTAATAATATAGTTAATTTGATTGATATATACCAGGATGGAAACAGCTATACCACTGCCTCGTCCCCAGGCGCTAATAAAAAAATTTCACGCGAGTCACTATATGAAAGATTTACATGAAGTAGTGCATCGCGACGAACAAGCGCAGGGAGTTATGGGCTTGAGGCATCGAAAATTGAGGAGCGCCTGGGAGATCTTGTGCCGTTTCTTGCAAAATTCGTCTGTTTCTTGCAAATCGTGGTTTTTCGACAGTTTGGGGGCTTTTTTCGCCATTTTTTTGAGGAAACAACATTTCAAATTGTTCAATTAAACATGTGATTACAGTCAGATGATATTTGATATCATTTAACGCTTTAAATGTTTCCGAGATATCAACACTTGAAGAGTTCAACGGGGCTGTAGAAGCCGGTTTATATAATAAATTTACAAGGTATGGAAAAATGACAATGAATTTTTATCACAACGAGCAAGCTACAAGACGTTTTTTAAACAAGGGAGCGATTAAACTTTATTTTGAATTGCATTTGCAAGATTCGTCTCAGGATTTCAGTTACGAGCTTATTTACATGAAATATGTTTGATTTCCACGATCCAAACGATCGACAATATTTTGAATAATTCAGGTAAGGATAGCTTTATTTCTTTCTGGTGATCAGTACATGAAGGGATTTATATTTAGATCTGTTGTTTACTTGTATGTTCGACAGCTATTTATACAAGATCGGCCAGGCGCTAACCAGAACGCTCATATCCCACTCCCTTTTGCGCGCCTATAATGTGACGCACTACTTCATGTAAACTTTTCATATAGTGCCTCGCATGAAATTTTTTATTAGCGCCTGGGGACGAGGCAGGCTATACCATATGATCCTAATAGACTAGTTATCCTGTTACGGTAAAGTTGTGACTGCGTCAGAGTAAGGACGTGTAATTGCTACAAAGCTATTTTAAAAAGGGGATATTTCTACGTATTTGTACGAAGAACTGCTTATACGAAGAACTGCTTGTACGAAGTAGTTTATTTTATTGTCATGTTTCAGTTCGAACCTACAATTTATGCTACAATTTATGCTACAACTTATCTACAATTTATCCTACAATCTACGACTGCGCCTAACCTACAAGTCCCACATCGTGTTTATTCTGCAATTTGCTACCCGTACTGAATTTCTACTTGGCTACAATACGTTGGCGGTTGCGTGACTTGTACAAAAGGCCATTTTGTTGAATGTTAAATTTGTTAAACATTGTACATCGATTTGCTATTTGTCGAGTTCTAATATTCATTTGTACCTATATCAACCATTCAACCCGCTGTAACTCTTGTATTTGGCAACCATGAGATACATTAGTTCGAACAGGGCTGCCCAGAGGTTGGCGGGGGCCCGGGGCAATTTTTTTGGGGGGTCCCGCATATCCCAAAAAATTTTTCCGGAAAAAATTTTTTTCCGTAGAACAACCTCCCCCCCGTCGCCAAAAAAATTTTGGTCAGTGTACCATTTCAGCGGTAAAAATTTTTTTCCGGAGTAAAAAATTTTTCCGGACGAGTGCTTTGCTATTGCTTTCCAGGAACTTTATCTCATTTTTTATGCCAAATTTCGGTACTTAGGCCAAGAAAACAGATATCTTGTCCTTTGCGCGGAAATATTTAACACACAAAAAAGACTGGGGCCCAACAAAAATTTTTCAGGGGCCCCCAGCACCTCGGGGCCCGGGGCAATTTGCCCCCTCTGCCCTCCCCCCCCCCCTCTGGGCGGCCCTGAGTTCGAATTTGCTTTACGATCATCTAAAACTTGCGTGAGATATTGTGGCAAAGAACTGAAACTTGACTTGGCAATCATTCAACGCTTGTGTCGATCAACACCATCTGTTGAGTGTCGTGTATAATTATCCTGTGGTGCGCAATTTCCGTTTGTGTTCATTATCTCAATTATATCTAATTGTGCGACGACGACATCAAGTGCCAAAAGCGTTTAAACTTTAAAGTGAAGCACGCGAGTTGTTTATTAAATTCTATATTGAACATTATTTCAACATGGATGTAAGACCGGAAGACTCTATTAGCAACGTAGATTCTCGAGAAGGTTCCATAATTTCGAGACATTCTCGAACTAGTTCGCCAAGTTCAATTAGAAGCTCTGCTAGCGCGAAAGCGCGAGCCGCCGCAAAGAAAGCGATTCTCAAAGCAGGAGCTGCTACTCTTGAACGACTTTATGCAATTCAAGAGGAGGAATTACGCCTCCAGCAAAGGAAAAAACAATTAGAACTTCAAACTTCTATAGCTAAAGCCGAATCCGAAGCCGAAGAAAGGGCTTATGCCATTGCCGAAGCCGAAGAGCAAAATCAATTGTATGTCCTCGACGAAACACATGAAAGCGTCGACTTAGCAAACACTCGAAATTTAGCAACTCCAGAGGCAGATTCTGAACAAAATTTGAGCGTCACGCAAACTGAAGTGGCAAACGCAAATGAATCAAATCAGATGCAGGTCGCCCCAGTTGATCAGCAGCAGTTAATTCCCACCCGGCATGTACAGCGACCCACTCCTAGATCTGAGAACCTGAATCCAGCTGCGCCAGATTGGAATCATGCTCAATTTTCGACCACTAAAGAAAATAACCATATACTAGGTAGAGTCTTAGAATCCCAAGAATATCAAAGTTTTGCTTTTCAACAACTTCTCGAACAGCAACAACAAAACATCTTAGCGCTTACACTTCCACAACCTGACCTTCCCATTTTCGACGACGATCCAACACGGTACTGCGATTTTATACGTGCGTTCGAGAATCTAATCGAAAGAAAAACGAATAGTCCAAGTGCAATTCCACCTTTCTCCATTTGAAAGACCCAAAGAGTAGAGAGTAAAGGCCAATAAGAGGCGAAGTGGCAGACGATGACGTCAAAGACGGTAAACCAGACCAAAAGCCCGAAGAGTCGAAGAACGGTTACGTTACAGCAATGAACAGTCGTTCAATGAACAGTCGTTCAATGAACAGTCGTTCAATGAACAGTCGTTCAAAGAATACCTCGATGATTGGGTTGGAGGTAGTCCCTGTAAAGGTTAGAGCGAAGGGAGGAAATAAGATGATGGAAACGTACGCGTTCTTACACAATGGCTCAAACACCACTTTCTGAACCGAACGACTTATCAACCAGCTCGGATTAGAGGGAACAAGTCAACGCTTTCCCTGACGATGCTAGAGACTGCTAAATCACTAACCGATTGTCCCATCGTTAATCTGGAAATTCTCGACCTGAACGAAGAAAACCTCCTTGCGCTGCCAAAGGTGTTCTCCAGACCAAGCCTACCGATTACTCGTGATAGTGTACAGGATCAAAGTGATGTTAACCGCTGGTCTCATTTAATGGCATAAATCTTCAATGCATAGACGCCGAAGTTGGCTTGTTAATAGGAAGTGACGTTCCAGAGGCTCTTCAACCACAAGAAATCAGAGAGAATAAAGACGGCGGCCCGTTTTCCACTCGAACAATTTTTGGCTGGGTTCTAAATGGTCCACTTGGAAGAAAGAGCAATTACGTGCCCACGGCTAACTTCGTAGAAGCGAACGATCAACTGAACTGCCGGGGAATTTTGCAACCGCGAATTCGAAGATTCAATATATGAATCAAAGACATTGATGTCGCAAAACGATCAAAGGGCACTAAAGATCATGGAAGACACAGTGAAGATTGTTAATGGCCACCATTAACTTGCACTGCCTTGGAAGAACTATCCTCCCTGTCTCCAGAACAACAAATCTCTCGCTCAGCATCGCCTCAATTTTCTAAAGAGAAAACTCGAGAAAGACCCAGTGACGTGCAGCAAATACAACGATTTTATGAAGGACTTGCTAAAGAACGGCTATGCGAGAAATGTGTATGACCACGACCTTGGTCCTCTCGGTACCCACTGGTATTTGCCACACCATGCTGTTTTCCACCCCCAAAAGCCTGGCAAAATCCGTGTCTCTTCAACTGCTCAGCCTATTACCGTTGTACATCGTTGAACGACCAGTTGTTACAGGGGTCGGATCTGACAAATTCTCTTGCAGGCGTGATTACGAGATTCCGACAAGACCCAGTAGCGTTCATGTCTGATATTGAAGCTATGTTCCACCAAGGTCGTGTGAGACCAAGCGATTGCGACGCCCTGAGGTTTCTTTGGTGGCCTGATGGGAACCTTGCCTCACAACCCGAAGAATACCAGATGACGGTCCATCTCTTCGGTGCTACTTCTTCCCCGAGTGGCGCAAATTTCGCTTTGAAAAGAGTAGCTGAAGACCACTAGGCAGAATTCGACGAGGAGACTACTCAAACAGTGAGAAGAAATTTCTATGTGGACGACTGTTTAAAATCGGTCGGATCAAATGAGAAGGCAGTCCGAATGGTCAGTCAGTTACGGGATTTACTCGCGAAGGCAGGATTCAGGTTAACCAAGTGGGTTTCAAACTCGCAGGAAGTTATCAATTCGCTACCAGAATCAGAGAGAGCTACGACGCTAAAAAATTTGGACTTTTCTGAGCCACATTTAGAGAGAGCCCTTGGCGTTCATTGGAACGTAACGAACGACGAGTTTGTATTCAAGATTTCCATCGAAGAAAAACCGGCAACAAAAAGAGGTATCCTGTCTATAATGAGCTCCGTGTATGATCCGTTTGGATTAGCTGCGCCATTCATCCTCCAGGCGAAGCTGATAATGCAAGATCTCTGTCGAAAGAATCTGGGATGGAATGACGAGATATCCGAAGAAGACCTGTCTCGATGGCAAAGTTGGCCGGACGAACTGCCGAAACTCGAGAAATTGGCTGTCAAACGTTGTTTTCGACCATGCGATTTTGGCAAAATATCCTCGAGTGAGCTTCACCATTTCTCGGACACTTCCCAAAAAGGTTACGGTGCGGTATCGTATTTGAAGATTGTCGAAAAACGTGGCAGAGTGCATTGTAGTTTTGTCATGGGGAAATCAAGATTGACCCCTCTTAAAGTGGTGACCATACCAAGAACGGAGTTATCTGCTGCAGTTGTTGCCACGAGATTAGATCAATAATCCGCTCTGAATCAGATCTTGAAATCGATCGATTGTATTTCTGGACCGACAGTACGTGTGTCTTGCGATAAATCCACAACGAGGCTACAAGATTCCAAACGTTCGTTGCGAATCGGATCACGAATATAAGAGAGTTATCTGAGCCCTCACAATGGCGTTATGTCGACACCCAGTCAAATCCTGCTGATGACGCCTCGAGAGGAGTGTCTGCAGATTGCTTGGAACGTTGGATACATGGTCCAGACTTTCTTACACAGTCGAGCGAAACGTGGTCAAAGCAACCTGATGATCTTTGCAATCTACCAGAAGATCAACCTGAACTAAAGAAAGCTATTGTATGCGCAGCTGGAACCACAACCATCCAAACCCATGCCGAGCTGGCCGACATCTCCAACCGTTTCTCTTCCTGGACTCGACTAAAGAAGACGATCGCATGGATCCTTCGCTATAAAAACAATCTACGGAGATTGCTCGAGAAGCGTCAGTCCGATAAAGAATCAGAAGATCGACAACCCACGAATAGATTTGAACCGATCAGCACGAGTGAAATGATGAACGCAGAACGCGAAATACTTAATTAAACATGTCCAATGGAAATGTTTCAAGAAAGAATTGGAAGATTTACGACAGCTTGAATGCCAATCAAGTAAGAAGAATGTTATAACAAAGAGCAGCTCCCTCTACAAGCTCGACCCGATTCTATACAATGGCCTACTCCGAGTGGGAGGACGATTGAAACGAGCTCCGCTCAACCATGATGCGAAACATCCAATCATTTTGCCAAAGAAAACGCATGTGAGCAACCTCATCATTAGCCATTACCACCGAATATCTGCTCATTCTGAGCTCGAATATACTTTTTCGTTAATTCGGCAGAAGCATTGGATCATTGGCGGAAGATCTAATGTACGAAAGGTCGCAAACGAGTGTTTCAGCTGCAGACGAAGGCAAGCATCAGCCATGCAGCAGAAACTGTCCAATCTACCGGAAGACAGAGTCGTACCATGTGAAAGACCATTCACGTACGTGAGAGTCGATTGCTTCGGACCGATCGTGGTGCGGCGTGGAAGAAGTAACGTAAAGCGGTATGGCGTGATATTTACATGCCTTTCAATTCGAGAGATTCATGTCGAGGTCGCTCATTCGTTAGATACCGAGTCATTTGTGAATGCTTTGCGAAGATTCGTGTCCAGAAGAGGAACTCCCGTGGAAATACGCTCCGATAACGGAGGGAACTTTGTTAAAGGCGAGAAAGAATTACGTGAAGCAATCGAGGGATGGAATCAACAGAAAATTCACGAATCGCTGTTGCAGAGAAATAGCAAGTGGATATTCAACCCACCAGCAGGTTCCCACCACGGCGGTGTGTGGGAGAGATGTATTAGGGCGGTGAGAAAGGTGTTTAATGCGTTAATTAAGGAGCAAACAATGGATGACGAAGGGCTGAGTACTCTGATTTGCGAAGTTGAATCGATCGTAAACGGACGACCGATAACGAAAGTATCAGACGACCCAAAGGATCTTGAAGCGTTAACCCCCAACCATCTACTACTGCTACATCCTGGACCCTCTATTCCACCTGGAAAGTTTTCGAGAAACGACAACTGTAGCGTGCGTCGTTGGCGGCAGGTGCAATATCTCGCTGACCTGTTCTGGCGACGTTGGCTTCGTGAGTATTTGCCTTCTTTACAACAGAGACAAAAATGGAACGAGTTGCGGAGAAACGTGGAAGTCAACGATATTGTTTTGGTGCTTGATTAGAAAGCACCTCGCAGTTCGTGGCCACTTGGTCGTGTTCTCGAAGTATACGCCAATAAGAAGGATGGTTTAGTGCGATCGGCGAAGATCAAGACATCCACATCAGTTATGGTTCGAATAAACAAGATGATCCTGCTGGAAGAAGCTCATAACGATAAGTAGAAACACTTTAATTAGTAGACTAGGGTACCTGTAGCCTGCGTAGCAGGCGCTATTTAGGGGAGAGCGAGGAAAAATGGGAGGGGCGAGAAAGAAATAGCGCCTGCAGGAAAGCCATATGTTTTCTCATATTTTGCGTCCGTGAGCGGACGCGAAATTCTGATTGGCTAATCAGTCATCAGGGGTTTCCCAATTATATTCCCTGTGGTTCCTGTGGTTTTAGATGAGTTCAAAATAGCGGCCTTAGTAGAAGGGGGTATTGAGTCAGACGGAGTTCTTTCTAAAGTGATTAGCGATATTCAATTGGCGACTGACCACTGTATTCAACTGAAAGAGGAGCAAGATAAAGCAGTTCGGGACCTTTTAAAAGGAAAAGATGTTTTTGCTGTATTACCGACAGGTTATGGCAAAAGTTTGATTTACCAAGCTTTCGTACGAGCGCGTGGTTATCAAACGTCAGGGAAAGCAGCTATTATTGCAATATCCCCATTGAATAGCATTTATATTAAAGACCAGCTAAAAGATATGGAACGGCAATGTTTCTCGTCCGTGGATGCTTAAATCACTATAATTACTATAATCACTATAGCTAGTCTACACCTAATTTCAACTTAGCCTATTCGCTATAAATTGATCGAGAAAGTTGCTTCGAGTTGCTGTCGTTATTGTTAACAACTTGTCCTGCGATGGGGAATCTCGTTCTTCTGTGTCGAGGAAAAGACTTTCTAGTACTAGATTTATAATAATAATAATAATAATAACATTTCTATAGCGCATATACATTGCTGTTCTATGCGCTTATTTAACACACACATTTAATTTCGTTGTGTGATTTTTTGGCAACTGCCGTTTGCTTCTCTCGCTCAGATCGTCTGAAACCGTATCGTTTTGTTCTTTAATTATCGTTCTTCCTTTACAAGTTTATATAGTTCAGCAGCGTTCCTTATTTTCCTTACAAGGTTTACACACTCGATCCGATAAAGTTTCGATTCAACTCAAAGCCAATGCCCAACGGACTCGCACGCGTTCGCTAAAATCAAATTCTGACTGCCTTGTCTGTCTGACGACTTACACAAATTTTCAAAGGAGGCTCACTTTCGCATACTGCTTTTAGATTGCTGTTGCAAAGCCTGCATGTATTGTTAGCGCTTGCCTATTTCGCTTTTCTACCTGCTTTTTTACAAATGTTTTTGGCGTCAACATAGAAATACACTTTATAGTATACACGCGCATTAACTATGATTATGCATAGTGTTGTGAAACCGGATCTGTCACTGGGAAAAAGTTGCGTCTAATCACTGATTGGCTGTTTTTTGATGGGCGGGACTTGGGCAGATATGAGAAAACATATGGCTTTCCTGCAGGCGCTATTTCTTTCTCGCCCCTTCCATTTTTCCTCGCTCTCTTTCTCTCGCCTTCGCACCCCCCTCCCTAGCTACCCCCCCCCCTAAATAGCGCCTGCTACGCAGGCTAGGGTACCTGCAAGGTAGGGATTGCTGCGGGCATTAAAAGCAAATAGAATTACAGTAAACAACACAGATTATATCAAGCACAGTGATTACTTGCAGCGACTAGTGAGCTGTGAATGGGACTGAGAAGAAGCAACATAGGCTATATTGAAGTGGTAAAGACCAGGGGTTAAAGGGCAATCAGAGGTGACAGATATTAAACATGTTTGTCTGATTAAGGTCAGATTTCATATCAAGTCTGTTTACTGCTAGGCGCATATACCACATTATATACACTATATACACAGATTTATCACGCTAAGAAACCAAAACTTTATAAAAATATAGAACTGACAGTGGCCAAAGTCCAAAACAAATGTAAGCGTAACATTAGACTTGAAAAAGCATTAGAAATTCGATAAAAATTGGAGAGTCCTCGAGCGAGTTTAAAATTTGTGTTCTGCGCATAGAAAGCGCGCACGACCACAATTCCATGCGCTAAATAAAATTTAGTTCAAAACCCCCTCTCTGCATATATTAGGTTGCTGCTACGCTCGCTCGCTTCAGGCTCGCTCGCTCCGCAGCAATTATAAGCGCTCAAACCTTTATACTGTGCAGTGTTATTTTGTAAAGGTTATCCCGTAGGTAACCTTTAAGGGGCCTGTATGTAGGTTTGAAACACTTATCCTACTATAATAATAGTTCATTATGTTTTAGGTTTGAAACACTTATCCTACTATAATAATAATATAGTTAATTTGATTGATATATACCAGGACGGAAACAGCTATACCATATGTTCCTAATAGACTAGATAGCGTGTCTGTTAGTAAAGTTGTGACTGCGTCAGAGTAAGGACGTGTAATTGCCACAAAGCTATTTTAAAAAGGGGATATTTCTACGTATTTATACAAAGAACTGCTAATCGAAGTGAATTCATCGCTACTCGTTTGGTACAAGTGTAAACCAAAGTACGTAGGTTTTACAGTATTGTATGTGCTTGTTAGTTTTGTTAGTCAATGACATTTGTGTGTTAGATTTCGCATGCATTTAAGTAAAATAGTTAAGTAGTTTATTTTATTGTCATGTTTCAGTTCGAACCTACAATTTATGCTACAATTTATGCTACAATTTATCTACAATTTATCCTACAATCTACAACTGCGCCTAACCTACAAGTCCCACATCGTTGCGCTACAATACGTTGCGTGACTTGTACAAAAGGCCATTTTGTTGAATATTAAATTTGTTAAACATTGTACATCGATTTGCTATTTGTCGAGTTCGAATATTCATTTGTACCTATATCAACCATTCAACCCCCTGCGACTCTTGTATTTGGCACCAGGAGTTACACTAATAACAAAAACAGACAACGGCACTTTGACCACACAAGTTTATCGCAAGAAAACACACACAGATCAAATTTTAAATTACAGTGGCAATCACCCAACACAACACAACACAAAGTTAGTTGCATAAAGACTCTATTCAACAGAATTGACACACATTGTAACAATGATCAATCCAAACAAGACGAACGCAAGTATTTATACTCTACTTTCTACAAAAATGACTACCCTTTAGACTTCATTAACAAGGTACTACAACATAAACAACAAACTAACACGGACCAAACCAAACAAAAACGAGAATTACACTTCCTTACATACACACTACATCAGAAATGGCAGTTAGACTCCTCCGACCATTCAACATTGACGTTGCACACAAACCAACATGGAAACTTAGGTCCAACTTCACTAAACACAAAGACAAGAGTCACAAGACACATATAACGGAAAAACATAACGCCATTTATATCTTCCCTTGCAAAAACTGTTCGGATAAGTACATTGGACAAACATCTAAAAAGATTCAGACAAGACTAACAGAAAACCAGAATGCAATCAACAGACACGAACATAGCTCACTTCCAGCTAAACACACAGACGACAACGGACATAAATTCGACTGGTCTCAAACGAGATGACTAGGACAAGCAACTACCAAACATGCTCGTGAGTTTAAAGAAGAAGCGTGGCATAGTTTAGACAAACAAACGTTTAACCGTCACATTGACATCCCTATACAATTTACAACTGAAACGCTCGCACAAATCTCCTAATTCATCTTCATTAACCTTTAACCTACCCTCAACTTCCTTCCCTACAACGTCTCATGATAACAATAATCATCCGCATTCCATAGTAACCAATGGCAGCCAAAATACTGAAATCCAGCAACCAATCAGACGTTCCCACAGACTTCAACAGCGTCAACAACAGCGCGAAAATTCAAAAGATCAATCCTTCTGATGAAGACTCGAAATACCGAGTCGAAAGCTCAAAACAAATAATTATAGCCTGCGTAGCGGCTCTCAGAGAAAGTAGAGCCAGACGAAAACCCATGCTTTGCCGTATTTACTCGTTCTCTCAGAGGACGAGAAATCTGATTGGTTCAAAATGAAAAAATATGCTAATTTATGCTAAATTCATACGAACACGGCGGATTAGCGGATGTATTATTGAGAGGCGTTTCTTTGAGTTTTGCATTCAAAAGTGCTTAATATTAAAGGCCACGATTTATGGTTGAACATTAAAGGTATTTACGAACTTGGTTCACGAAGCTCTAGAGATATTGACTGTGGTGTCTTCGTTGGATTGCTGTCTGTTAGCAGCGCCTCTTTTACAACTCAAGAGCGTGTTCGTTTTCATAAATTCATCGACGACAAATAGATTTTTTCTTCATGATTTTGTAGCTAATTATTTTGTGCCAGGAGAGAATTGCTATAAATGCTTATGTCTTATGAACAGGACTTGCTGTCTGTGAAGTGATGGCTTTAAACACCTTTCATATTCTCTTCTCAGCATCGCTAGAAACTTTAACATTTAATACATCACGGTTGACCGCTGTCGAAACTATAAATTATATTTTTGTACGTGTGGGAGAAAGCTATGAAATATCGTAGATACGGACTGCAAACTACTTGTGACAACGATGGAGATTGCCCTAGGCCTAGCGCTATTCCCACAGACTTCAATTTTCTTTAGCCGCCATCCGTATATATTTACAGTGTTTCGTTTTGAAATTTGCGAACATACAGCAATCTATATTTATATTTCATTTTCATAAGTAAATTTGCAAACGTAAACAATCTGTGTGATTGACCAATTTTGACATCTGTTTAAAGTGGGCGTAGCCCGCAGGCTAAGTGGGCGGAAATGGGAAAGCATGGGTTTTCGTGCAGGCTCTACTTTCTCTTATATATATATATATAAAAAAGACAACAAAAAACAAATTTGTAACAAACAATATATATATATATATATATATATATATATATATATATATATATATATATATATATATATATATATATATATATATATATATATATATATATATATATATATATTAAACAATTATTGAATGAGGTCGAGTAGGATATGAGGAATTATTAAGGCAGAGGTTTGTGTTATCTACCGAAGCCGAAGGCTGAGGCAGATAACACAAACCGAGGCCTTAATAATTCCTCATATCTACGAGAACCGAATTCAATAATTGTTTTATTATTTATTTGTGTGTATATATATATATATATATATATATATATATATATATATATATATATATATATATATATATATATATATATATATATATATATATATATATATATATATTTATATATATTTAAAATACTCATTATTAATTCGTATAATAAATATGAGAGCCCAACATATAACTTTTAACAAAGCCATTAAAACAGTTTTAAAAGATTGTAAAGAATTTTAATTGTAACGTTTCGTCTTTAACTTAAGACATCTTCAGACTAGATAAAATTACACGAGATGTGAATATATATAAGCTAATTATAATCTATTTACAAGGTGTTATGTTACTAAGGATAATAAAGGATAAGAGGGTGTATGTAAGACAGGACGATACAAATGAGGAAACAAAACAGACACAAGAAAACGGCAAATTACAGAAGGTTAAGCGGAATAGAGCTACCCTGGACGTTAAGAGTAGGTTTGAGTTTAGATATAAAAAGGCTTTCGTGAATCAATAATTCACAAGTGTCTGAGCAAGAGGAAAGAATTTTGAAGTCGTCAAAGTTGGCAGAGTGCCCTGTAGTATTTAAGTGAGAGAAAATACTAGACATGACTGGACTGGATGACGGCTGGCCTGTTATAGGAGTGAGTCCCAGGTGTTCCGATACTCTGGTGTGTAAATGGCGCATGGTTTGACCCACATACGACGCGGAACAGCATCGACACTTAAATAAGTATACAACACCAGATCTCAGGAACGTAGGAACTTTATCCTTGAAAGGAAAGAAAGAAAAGATGCGTTTAGAGGAGCGAAAGACAAATCGAATGTTGAGATGAGGATAAGCAGCATTGCAAAGTCGGTTGATTTGAGTGCGAATTTGAAGAGAGTGTGAACCTGTGAAGGGAAGGCAAAAATAGATAACCTTTTTAGGAACCGTGTGAATAGGAGGTTTGGGTTCGAAGATCTTGTTAAGGAAACGATGAACAAGATGGTCAAACATGTGGGAGGGGAAACCATTCAAGTTAAACAGTTTCCTGATAACTTCAAGCTGAGTATGAAAGTTTTCATAGCTAGAACAGAGGTTGAAAATTCTGTAAAGTAGGCAAGAGATTAAAGAGCGTTTGTATGCAAGAGGAATGAAGCTGTGGAAGTTAGTGAAAAGACCCGTGAAAGTTGGTTTACGATAAACAGAAGTGGAAAATTTACCGTTTGAGCGAGTTATATCGACATCGAGAAAAGGTAGTTTACCGTCTTTTTCCAGTTCGGATGTAAAAGAAATGTTTGGGTGTTGGCGGTTAAGATAGTTAAGAAAGAGAGGTACGTGGTCCAAGGATCTAAAAAGAAGAAAACAGTCATCAACATAACGTCGATACAGAATAGGTTTGAAAATAGACGGACAGTTGTAAAGCCATGATTTCTCATGGAAAGACATAAATATATTGGCAAAGAGAGGGCCTAGAGGACTACCCATAGCCACGCCATCAATCTGTTGATAAATCCGACCATTAAAGATAAAGTGACAGTTTTTAACAGAAAGAGATAGAAGTTTAATGAACTGTGAGCGATCAAAGCCTTCAAAATACATGCAGCTGGCAAAGATGTGATTAGCAACAATCTCAATTGTTTCATCAACAGGAATATTGGTAAACAATGAAGTAACGTCAAAGCTAGCCATAACCACACTATCTGAGTTGATGTCGCTGTTCAAGAGTTCTTGAACAAAAGAGAACGAGTCTTTGATAACGAAAGAGCTTGTAGAGATAGGAGTGAGAAAGGGAATGAAGAATTTAGCTATCTTATACGAATAATGATTGATAGAAGATAAAATAGGTCTTAAAGGGATAGAGGATTTGTGAATTTTGGGAAGTCCATATAGTATGCCTATACGTGTACCAGTGGGATACAGTTCGTTGTAAGTTCTTTCATTGATACAATTGTCAGCCTTTAGTTTCCTTAATAGCGTCTTAACTTGACTTTCACGCTTAAGGGTTAGCTTGATTGCATCATCATCCAAAAGTTCAAATTTTGAGGTATCCGACAGTATTTGATCCATCTTTTTATTGTAGTCATCCTTATTAAGAATTACTACGCCATTTCCCTTGTCAGGTTTCATAATTACAATGCTGCTGTCGTTCCCGAGGTCTTTGAGAATTTTCAGTTCTTCCTGCGTATATAAAGCGTTAGGTCGATTGTAGCTTCGGAAACCGGAGTATGCGATATCTTTCAACTTGGCTTTAATCGAAACCGGGAAGAAGCCAGAATTAAAGTTGATGGGTTCTCGTTTAAGTTGATTGTAAAACTTTTCAAACGGTGTGAGGAAACTACAGGAATTCACTTTAGTTGGTGGGATGGCAAAGTTAAGTCCTTTGGATAGAATTTCCTTTTCTTTGTTCGAGATAAGGAGATCAGAGAAATTGAAAACCACGTCGTCAGGGTTGACCGAGTTCGAGTTATTTTGTCCTGAGCAGACACGAAAAATCTTGCGGTCTTGAACGCGCTGATGTTGACTAAGTTTTTTCGAATTTTCGATATAACTCGCTCAAACGGTAAATTTTCCACTTCTGTTTATCGTAAACCAACTTTCACGGGTCTTTTCACTAACTTCCACAGCTTCATTCCTCTTGCATACAAACGCTCTTTAATCTCTTGCCTACTTTACAGAATTTTCAACCTCTGTTCTAGCTATGAAATCTTTCATACTCAGCTTGAAGTTATTAGGAAACTGTTTAACTTGAATGGTTTCCCCTCCCACATGTTTGACCGTCTTGTACATCGTTTCCTTAACATGATCTTCGAACCCAAACCTTCTATTCACACGGTTCCTAAAAAGGTTATCTATTTTTGCCTTCCCTTCACAGGTTCACACTCTCTTCAAATTCGCACTCAAATCAACCGACTTTGCAATGCTGCTTATCCTCATCTCAACATTCGATTTATCTTTCGCTCCTCTAAACGCATCTCTTCTTTCTTTCCTTTCAAGGATAAAGTTCCTACGTTCCTGAGATCTGGTGTTGTATACTTATTTAAGTGTCGATGCTGTTCCGCGTCGTATGTGGGTCAAACCATGCGCCATTTACACACCAGAGTATCGGAACACCTGGGACTCACTCCTATAACAGGCCAGCCGTCATCCAGTCCAGTCATGTCTAGTATTTTCTCTCACTTAAATACTACAGGGCACTCTTGCCAACTTTGACGACTTCAAAATTCTTTCCTCTTGCTCAGACACTTGTGAATTATTGATTCACGAAAGCCTTTTTATATCTAAACTCAAACCTACTCTTAACGTCCAGGGTAGCTCTATTCCGCTTAACCTTCTGTAATCTGCCGTTTTCTTGTGTCTGTTTTGTTTCCTCATTTGTATCGTCCTGTCTTACATACACCCTCTCATCCTTTATTATCCTTAGTAACATAACACCTTGTACCTGTAAATAGATTATAATTAGCTTATATATATTTACATCTCGTGTAATTTTATCTAGTCTGAAGATGTCTTAAGTTAAAGACGAAACGTTACAATTAAAATTCTTTACAATCTTTAAAAACTGTTTTAATGGCTTTGTTAAAAGTTATATGTTGGGCTCTCATATTTATTATACGAAAATCATCTGTCATTAATTATACGCAGCAGTTAAGACTCAGAGTGGCCATGTCAGGGTAAATTCCAAAAGGCGATACATCCTCGTACCCAGGTCTTTTTGGGAGGTGGCCGTGACACCAGAGCACGAGGGAAAATAACCTGGATACGAGGTTGAAGGCGATATTGTGCTGAAATGGCGACATACAAAAAAAGGGCTACTGTAATTACTGTACCTTGCCTGCGAAGTTCATCGACTCCTCCAAACATCTTTTTAAAGGTTGTTGCAATTCCTTTCCCCATATGTACATCAGCGCTGATACAGTGAGCCAGAGATGTGTCTTTTTCACAGCTGAATAAATTTCCTTTTATCTCTCGAAAATGAAACCCACTTTCTTTTGCATACGCCATTCTGCTACATTCTATATCTATAAAAAATAAGTAGGCGTTAGCCTAATGTTGTAACAAGTCATCCCAAGGTCGAGTCATATGTCCAGCTCAGTCTAACAAACATTGAGTAACAAGTTGAATACATGCATAAATGTCTTCACTCTAGTCACTAGCTCAACTTAAGAGTAGTTGAGTAAAGGTACATTACACGTTGAGATCTATCGTGTACGACTCGTGTTCTATCGTATGTAATCGAATTATAAGCACGCGTAAAGTGGTTGCATTTCAAATTTCTCCATAAACTAAATGGGCAGGAACTGTGGCATCAACAGCAATTTCATACGTCAGAATACGAATCGTACAGTATACGATAAATCGCAACGATGTTCAATAAATCTATTTCATTACCCACATATTCTGTAATGGACTGCTATCCCAGTTTGCAATCTGTGAATTGAGTGATTAATAAAATTGACCTTAATAACTTTATGTATTTAATTGAATAACAAAAATACTTGCAGTGTGAAATACAGGTGTGCATGCACCGGATTGGATTGGATGTTTATAATCCGACAATTGGCTAATGTTCAAAATCCAATCCGATCCGAAATTGTCTAATCCCGAATTCGATCCGAATTTTAATAAAGAATTCCGATCCGAAGAATCCTTTAATAAAATAAATTTTTCATTCAAGTGGAAATATTTAACCAAATAAATATAAAAGCAAGAAATACATGTCAAGAAGCTGCCAAAGTGACGTCCAATTGAAGTATCAATGAAACGAATAATGCAGCGAGAACCGCGTTACGGTGGATAATTTATTCATTTTATTTGGAATATCGAAGTCCGATCTGATCCGACTACGAAACAACTTTATCAATCCGAAATGAATATTTTTGTTCCGAAATCCGAACGAATCCGATCGGATTTGCACACCTCTAGTGTGAAATACATTGACAGTCTGCATGCGACTTGTGTGCCATGGCGAGGCTGTACTAATGTGGAAATATTATAGTTCTACTCAATTGGTTGTTCCCAGGGATGCCGGAAAGAGGGCAAGGGGGGGGGGAGATTTTCACGGTGGCGGTTCACACTTTTTAAGGGTTCAAAATTCTAGTAAATAAATTAATAAATTTTGTTCGAAACCACCAGAATTAGTGATATATAGTCAAATCAAGCCCTAGGCCTACTGTAGGAGAATGTCATCGGCACATAATTGTCGCCCTCAGAAAAGTAATTTTGATTCGCAATTTTGGGCTCAATGCAGCGAATCCCTAGTGATCAGCTGGTAATGATTCTTTAAAACACCACAGTCCACACAAAGGAAATTTCTCTTCTCCAGAGTGGGAGCCCTGGGTATGTACTTCTGATAATAATAAAAAGTACTAGGATGATCACAGGGGTAGTGCATGGGTCAACTTTCAACTTCCGCCAATGGGGGAGGTGTGGATGTTTCCTGGCTTCCCCAAAGAGGAAATTTCTTCTGTCCAGAGGCCGAGGGGAGAAACATTTCTTTCTGATAATAGTAAGGGCATTTTTTAAGAGTTTCTCTCCACTTTTTAAGAGTTTCAACTTATTAAAATTTCTTGACATTGTGTATTTTAATACGGCTTTGTTTTTACATAATTCAATCAATCAATCAATCAATTTATTTACCACACAACATTACATTGCAAGATTCCCTTATATATACTCATATACTATAATAATATTGGTCCCATTTTACAATCCATTATTTGTTGAGTTTTATATAAAAAAAATATTGTTGTGCAGAAGGTTGAGCAGTGAGAAAGCTCAAGAGAACTTGAACAAGCACTGATCAACCAACGGAACTGGGAAGGAGATTTTTAAGAATCTATGTATTCAAATGATTGAGTGAAAAAAGAAATATGGGTATATAGAAATAAATCATAAACTATATTATACTCAATATTTATGAATATGGGACCTTAGTCTAGCCTGAAAAATAAATAACGTAGCAGCTTCGGTTACATATTTATCTAGCGAGTTCCAAAACAATGATCCACTGTGTTTAAGAGTTTGTTTTCTTGTTGTTGTTCTGACTTGGTTGATATTAACTCTGTTGGCATTCCGCGTCTCGTAAGAGTGAATGTCCTTGTTAAGGATGAAGTAACTCCTAAAATGTTGCGGGAAAATTGAGGACTTGTCAAAGCATCTATACATAAAAGAACCAGTCTGAAATTTATTAATGGCATAAACATCAAGTAACTTGAATTTTGAAAAAAGTGGTTCAGTAGGATCTCGATATCCAGCATTAGCAATAATACGCACTACACGTTTTTGCAATTTCATGATTTTATCAAGATTAGTAGGATATATTTTAGCCCAAACTATATTACAGTATTGAATATACGGTAACACCAAGGAGCAATATAAAGTTCTTCTGGTGGGGCTAGTAATAAAATGCTTTGCTTTGTTTATGATGCCAATAGATTTTGCCATCTTTAGGGCAACGTGTGAAATATGTGGTTTCCAGTCTAAATGTTCGTTTATATAAGTTCCAAGAAATTTAGTGGTAGCTAACCTTTTAATTTTTATAGAGTCAATAAACACATTTAAATTATCTCGACTTGGAATGGGTTTATTTCTTGCGCGAAAAATTATATAATTCGTTTTCTTTAAATTAAGTGAAAGTTTATTTGCTTTAAACCAGTCCGACAGTTTATCAAGTTCACAATTAACTTTACGGATGAGTGTGGCAGGATCTCTGTCGGAATGATATATACTAGTATCATCAGCAAACAGAATAAAATTGAGAAGATTAGAGCAATTGGCAATATCGCTAATGTAAAGAAGAAATAAAAGTGGTCCAAGGATAGAACCTTGGGGAACACCACACGTTACAATCATTTTTGAGGAGACCGTCTCACTAAATTTCACAGTTTGTTTCCTATCACTTAAATAATCTTTAAACCACATGAGTGGAGTACCTCTGATACCGTAATGGTTTAGTTTACTTATAAGAATTTTGTGGTTCACAGTATCAAACGCTTTTGATAAATCAACAAATATGCCTACAGTATATTCATTGTTATCAATCGAATGAGAGAGACTGTCGATTAATTCAATTAAAGCCATATAAGTTGAGTAATTCATTCTGAAACCATACTGATTGCTGGACAGGATATGCATTTTATCCAAATATGTTAATAATCTGTTGTAAATAATTCTTTCCAATATTTTTGAAAATATTGGAAGAATGGAAATTGGTCTATAGTTACCAAAAGATTTACGGTCATCAGATTTGTAAACAGGAGTTATCATAGCCTCTTTTAATTTGTCAGGCACTCTGCCAGTATTCATGGATTTATTGAAAATATTTGACAAAGTAGTTTATTGAAAATATTTGACAAAGTAGGAGCTAATGGTCCAGCAAGTTGTTTAACAATAAATGGGTCAATCAAATCAATCCCACAGGATTTATTAGGGTTAAGTTCTGAGATAAGTTTAGTTATTTCATCTTCATTAGTTTCATACAGTACAAACGAGTGCATGTAAGATCCTATAAGGTAGTGAGTAAAATTAACAGAAGTATTAGGAATTACTTTTGCTAGATTAGCGCCAATGTTGGCGAAGTATTTGTTGAAAGTGTTGGAGATTATCTGAGGGTCAGCAGTCTCAGTATCATTGAAATGAAATGATTCAGGGTAAATAGTTTTAGATTTTGGTTTTCGAATAAGGTCATTAAGGATTCTCCAAGTATGCTTCAGATCAGATTTAGCAGATTCAAGTTTCATTGCAAAGTAACGCTTTTTTGCGATTTTAAGAAGATGATTCAATTTGTTCCTATATGATTTAAATTTTTGTTCCGTTGGTGAATTCCTTTCTTTTAAGAACTTTTTGTACAATTTGTTTTTAACTGTAATTGATTTAATCAATCCTTTTGATATCCAATGTTTACGAGCCCGCGTTTTCCTTATTTTTCTTTTTTTGAGTGGAAAAGATTTGTCGTAAAGGTCATTAAACATATTAAGAAAAATATTATAGGCAATATTCGAATCAGTGGATTCATAAACTGCTTGCCAATTGAGGGAAACCAAGTTAACTTACTTTTAGGTCTGAAAAATGAAATATAGGTAAGTGGTCAGAAATATCAGTAATTAAAATGCCAGAATCGGCAGAATGTTCATAATTGTTTGTAAAGCAGTTGTCTACAAGTGTTGCTGTATAACTGGTAATCCTGGTGGGCCGAAAGATACTGTTAGTAGTTGGACAATAAGAATACGAAGTCATAATTTCGAAAAAATCGCTGGTTATCGAGTTTTCTTCAATATTTAAAAGATTAATGTTAAAATCACCAATAAGATAATTTAATTTATTCGACTTATTAAGGTAATTAAGGGTTTTGTCAAGATAATCGTTAAACAAACTTACGTCTGCATTAGGAGGCCTATAGATTATACCAGTTACAACCTTATGGTTGTTTATTAAAAATTCGATAAATAATGACTGGCATATGTTAGCCCGCGTGCAGGCCCAAGGGAGCAGGCTGAAGGGAACTTGATAGTGGGCCTGCAAGCAAGGCCCGGTATTTTGTACTTTCCGCGTTCGCCCACGAACGCGGCATTCTGATTGGCTGTTTGCTGTTGGATTCTATAATTAGGTCAGTGATTCATCACAAAGGCATAGACAAAGGCTCTCGATAAGCTTAAAATTCGAAAATTGATCACTTTTTTCGATTACAAATGGAACAAGAACAGACTGTTTATTGTTTACTTGAAGGAAGAGATGTTTTTGCCGTTATGCCAATGAGGATTGCTTGTCGTGAGGTGTTGGAATAGCAACATTTATTACGAATGGGGTATAAAACTATAGTAACCTTTACTTGAGTTTCATTAATTTCAAACAGACTTGATACGTTATATGTTCCTCAAGAAAATTATCTTTTGGTTGATGTTGAGATGCAGTTGCATGTAAGCCTATTCAAAATACTTTGCGATTTACAAGGCTTCGCTGAGAGAGCAAAAGAGAAGACGGTATTAAATTGCCGTTTGAAACGAAACGATCTGGACTCTGAACGCTCTCTTCTTTTGTAGAGTTCTCACCAAATGAAATAACTGAAATAAATTTCGTACTTTCCGCCGCCAACAAGAATTGCACACACGATCTGATAAGTGAGACAATTTATTTATAACAATGGCGACAGCGAAGCAACATTATAAATGCTGATGTGGTCGCACGACTTCCCTCACGATTTGAAGTTTGAGACTGGTTTTCTGTTGAAATTCGTCTTAATTTGCCTGTTCCGATTTTAGTTGAAAATGAGCACTTGTAAATTTGGCAATTACTGACTGCGTTGCTTGTTTTTTTGGAGTTTTAACACAGGCATTTACACATTGTTTCTATTTTGAATATTAAAGCAGAGAAAACCCCGCAACATTTTAATGCGAATTTGTTTGTTAATATTTGGGTTGCTGTCATTGGTTCTTTTTTGACAATTGACGCGCGAATGGGGCGTGTTATGAAAAGGGGCGTTTTACAAATACCGGGCCTTGCTTGCAGGCCCACTATCAGTTTCCTTGGGCCTGCACGCGGGCTAGGCATATGTTATCGTCATTAATACCAAGATCAGTTAATTCAACGAAATCAATGTTGTCCCTAATATAAAGAGCAACGCCTCCGCCCTGTCTGTTAATACGGTTAGATGTTATTAATTTATAATTATCAAGCTCACACTGAGCTATGTTAGTAGATGTCAGCCAAGTCTCAGAGACACCAATTATCGAAAAAGGAAACTGTAACAGATTAAGGTAATTTGTAAATTTATCAAAATTATGCGGAAGGCTACGAGCATTGAAATGAATAAGTGAGAATTGATCGAATTTATTAGAGTGTTCAGAAACAAAGGTATCCTCAAGAAGGTAATTATTGTTGTTTGAAATACACGAGTTAAAGAAGTGCTCATCAGAGTCCAAGTTATTGATATTTGTTAAAGTTTCGGAGATTGGATTAAATATTAAGTCTTTAAAGGGATCAATATTAAATGTAAATTCACTATTCGATTCGCGGAGAGCCAACAAGAATTCTTCGTCATTATCAAAGTGGTTGAATGGAAAAATAGAGGAGAGACACGGTGCACAAAACCAGTCCATTTTAACGGCTGTCTTCGCTGATTTAAAATTCAGGCCAGAACAATTCATATGGAACCATGCTAGACAATGGTTGCATATATTCAATGGTTGCATAATTTCTATAATAAAAAGCTTGCAAATAGTTTTAATCATTTTTTTAGCAACATAGCCACAATACTCGGTTAGTTTCTAGGACAACATACTCTCTTCCTCTAGTCCTTACAAATTATGGAATTTTCAATTATTAGATTCATTGGAATCAAGATTTGGAACAGCATTGATGATTTTTAGCTACTAAAATTGTTTGACTCAAAGTTTGATATTTTTTTTTTGAGACCTACCTGTTACTTTTTTCAAGGCTTTTGCATGAGCCTTTTACTCACTCATATTCATTTACTTTGGTTTAGAAAAATCGTGTGTATGTGTGTTCTGTGCCTGCTATTTATATTTATTGATAACCCATGTCCGTATCTAACTTTTCCAACTCTATAAAATTACTACTTTTCATTATAGAGGTCACCTGTCTTGAGTAGCCCATATGGTTATTACAGGTGGTCTTCACTCTCAGCTGATAATAATAAGAATAACTTTCTGTATAATTATGTTTTTTATGAGTGAAAATAAATTGTTTGTTGTTGTTGTTGTTGTTGTTGTTGTTGTTGTTGTTATTGCTGTTGTTGTTGTTGTTGTTGTTGTTGTTGTTGTTGTTGTTGTTGTTGTTGACAGAGGTAGGGGGTTGATAACTAACTTCCAATTTCCTGTGTGGGGGAGTTATGGATGTTTCCTGGAATGACCCAATATCAGTTACAGCCAATCATGTAATAATAATCATGTGGAGTAAGAAATCAACTTATCAGAATCGAGAAGAAATTTTAATGCTCTGTCATGCCTCATTCAGATGCAAACCATCCTAACTATTTAATGATTATTTATAAGCTGTGTCAGTCAAGTCATTTTCTGTGTTGACTTGAGTTGAATCAGGGCAGTCGAGTCATTTTCCATATTGGAAGCAATCAAGTCCTTGAAAATAGCAACTAGAGTGCCAAGTAATTTACTCAAGTCCAAGTCACTTAAGTCTTAATGACTCAATAAATTAATATGACAAACATTGCAACCAGCGGCAGATTACCAGTTAAGCGGCTTGTAAAATAGGCTGGGTAACATTCGCGGGTCTTGAGGACAGGATCATAGCTAGATGCGATAATTGGGGGGGGGGGGGTATATATTCATATATTCATGTTTGACACTGTTCACATACCGTAAAAACAATTGCTTTCAAAAGAAATCCATTGAGCAGAACACATGCATATTTACCCCCCCCCCCCCCCCCAATTAGCGGTCTAGCTATGGCCCTGCTTGAGGATGATATTCCCACACAAGTTCTGCTGATTTAGACAATGATAATGAATGTGTGTACATGGAATTCACTTAAGTTCAGCTTCTTGTCGATGTTAGCACTAATCCCATTCCTTCATGAATTTTTATTGAGGTCAGCGGAAAAAATCCACTATACATGGCAGTACTTCATGAATGCTGGACATTGCACAGTCTAGCTGTTACAGTTGAGGCAGGATCTCACTTAGCTGCATGGGCCAATTCTGTGCCCAAGTAATTTTTACTGGACTGGGAATTTCCCATATAAACGCAATGACCCAGGCTGGCTAATTGGCCATGCAAGCTCTGCATGTTATTGCTCTGCATGTGCGAATATATTATTGTAATTATAAGATATTATTCATAGATTTCGATCTTAAATGGCTTGGTTGTGAACAAGTCTATGGATTAATTATTACTGTGAAAGTTACTCTGGCCCAAAAGTGCAAATCTCAAGTTCATGAGAAAATATATAAATTTATATTACTGTACCGGTATACTATTTATAGCGGGGAGACCAGTGGTTTGTTTTGGCGAACCAGCCCACCTCAAAAGCCTCGCGTAAACACAGGAAGTTTGGCACACAGTCCAGTTATAAACAGTACTTACTGCATGACCACAACATTGTCCTGGTTAAATACCCTAGCTCATTAGTTATAACCTGTTCAGTACCTGCATGTGCTCTCCCCTTGACAAGAAATCATCTGCATTAGACAGAATAAAATAATAATTAAGTAGGGAGAATTATGGCACAATGCAATTAACTTAACAGGTTGTCTTTAAACACATGGACAGATAGTCTGAATTAACCCAGTGAGCATCAGTGGCACCAGCACTCTCAACTTGACAAGTTATATACTGTAGTCTGGTGTCATAGACAAAGTATAAAATGTAAAATAATAAAGCTGGGTGCAGATCGATGGTAATTTGGTTAAGCTTGTAAATACATCTTAGGACCAACATTACATCAGTTTCGAACTGAATATCTCAGTGATAATGCTGCCTGTCTTATAGTAACATATTGCAAACTTAATTGACTGTATGTATGAGCATTGAGCACTAGCTATTCAATGCAAATATGAAACACCAGCAAAATATAAGAAAACTTCGATATGCTTCAAGTTCTGGCCTTTGTCTAGTAAATTAGTGCCTACTATAGCTACCAACTTCCAGACGAAGAGCACTAAAGTTTGCAGTTTGTAATTTTTTTAGAATGTTTGCTACCTACATTGGCACCCAACCTCGCACCCAACGAACAAACAACATTTGTGAGTTTTAACAAAAGCACTTTTGTTCAGGTTTTGTAAATACTTACGAGTCGTCAAAATATACCAATCTCTGGCTTTCAAGCATCTCCTTCCATATAACACTGTGTCTCTATGACTGTGTTGATGAGCAAATGTTCTATCCTCAATTCAAAATTCCAAGAAATAGAAACGTCTTCACTTGATACCATACAATATAAAGAAATTTGACACACTTCCCGCCAAACGTTGCGTGTTGCCCACGCAAAATCACACGCACGTTCTCAAATTCATACATTTATCCTTAAATACAGGAATTCAGCACTGTTTTATTATTAAAAGCATATTAAAAGTCCTTTTTCAAGGAAAATCAAATTGCACAGTCTTCAAGTTACTTTTCTTCTTTTCGCATTTTAATTTTCAAAGTTATAAATTCATATGAGACTAAACAACTCTGGACAGTTTTAGTGTTTTACAGTCATCACATTCACTGATTCACATTCATATTAAAAAAATGACAGAAAATTGAGGAAATTTCGAGAAACACAAGGAATTTTAAGGTTTTAGAAAGGGAATTCTCGAGGCTTGGAACAACAGAATAAATTAAATTGACTTACGGTCACGGCATAGTCTGTGGTCACGGAATATTTCAAAAAGCTGCTTTGTTGAACTGTGAAATCCCAAAATATAAAAGGCTTGTCAAAAAATATTACTTAATTTACAATCAGATGGCTAGTTGACATGATGGAATTTATAACAGATACAAAACTACTGAATAAGAGTGTTTTATCCGTGGGTATATGTTTGTGAGTGTTTTTACATGGACACATGCATGGTCACATGGACAGGAGTCACAGGACAGTACCCTGCTGGCAGTGGTTTGGGGACAGGCATGATGGCAAAATTATATATATTTGTCATTTATGATGGTAAGCAAATGATATGGTAATTGTTTTCATTATATGTATTTGCCACCAAACACAAGTTCAATTCTTATGAACAGAACAATATAGTCACTTTTCTTTCATATGGCATGTATGTCTTCTGTGTGGCTTTATATATGAAGGTCGCAGGTTCAAAACCAAGCCGCGACAGGCAATATCTTTCTGCTTGTGCGCGGTGTGGAAATTATGAAATACACACTGTAGAACATTTTCAATATATACATATACTGAAGTCCTGGTTACACTAGTATGCTGGTCATATGACAGACAACAAAGTTATACAGTTTTTTGCATGTTGTTACCTCATTTGCGTTTACACTGTAGGGCCACATAAAAAAATTACTTGTTTAGGCCACTATTTGTTGTATATTAGTTTCTCATCCCCGCCCGCATGCTTTTTAAGAAAATTGTCTTGTTCGCCATTATTGCCATTTTTGACCATTATTAGAAATTTTGTGATGTCTTCAAAATTATATTTGAAAGAAAGACATGCAATTAGAAACGTTCCCAAACCAAAAGTTTTAGTTAAGATACGAAATTTCATACCAATTGCAAAACTGCCAGTTTCTCTCGCATTTACGTAAAAGTTCTACCGAAAGCCAGGGGCAGGGAAAAAAACGCGAGACGACTAGGCTACAAAATTATTTCTCTATTCTGTGATTATTTCACATGTGACCATGTTTTTAAGATGAAAACATA